AGTGTAATGGTACTATTACAACTCACAGTTTTCAGGCTTAATGACAACATTTGGAGCTTCAAAACAACGTAAAAAGGAGTAACCAGGAAAAAAGATTTAAGGTCAGGTGACTACCGATACATCCGCTACCCAAACTCCAACAGAATTTTGATAGTATGAGCAGCCCAATAGTTTCCCATCATGAATGCATAAGTCACCAAGTCTTGACCATCCCATATCAACAGAATCGTGACATATTACAGGTTCCCATGAATGAACCTACAAATAGAGATCTTTAAGTTTCTGATTCGTTTCAGATACAATCCCATAGAGTAATGAAAGAAACAAAACAAAACCTTCAAACTGTCATCCAATCCAGAAAACAGGGTCCTCCCATCAGGATGAAAAGCAATTGCGCGTACTCCTGTAGGCTGGAAAGGCAGAAAAGATTCTGTCAGAGGAGCAGGATGAAAATCGCATTACAAGAAGCAAGGACTAAAGGAGCATACAATGTGTTATTTATCCATATGAGAGAGAAAGAGAGAGAGATGAGAAAAGTTAGAAAAGAAGAAATGGCAACATAGCAGGCTTCATCTGCAAGATATATTGTTTCAACAGATTTAATTCCCCTTAGATATTTTGTTTTTGTAGCAACCACATTCCGGCTTTATTAAAGGAAAACACAACAGAAATAAAATAAAATAAAATAAAAACCTTCAATATTCACCATAAACTTTTAGTTCCAGAACATAAACTCAATACCTCAGGTCTGGAAGATCCAATCAGTTCAAAAGTTTCCAAATCCCAGAATTTTACAGTTCTGTCTGCCGAACCTGGAATATATTTTGTAGATTAGGCTAATACATAAACACAATGATGAGAATGCTGAGATTAAAAGGCGGAGGAGAAAATATGAAGGGACAAACTGCATGCTTAGAAGCTTACAAATCATTAATAAGGCTGCAACCTTTGCATGGGTTATAGAATAGTCGTGTTAAGCATGGCTCAAAAATAGAAAAGATAAAATGAAACCAGAGCAAGAAATTGATTTCCATATGCAATTTTAAGATTCATTAAAATCCTCAGCGAGATGTAAGAGTTGCTTGAACAAGTTGGACACAAATGCTATCCAATTTATATCTCTGGAAATTCCTCAATCACATGCAGAGCCAACTTATATCTAAGACATGCCAATATAAGTCTCACTGACCTGTGGCCAAGAGAAACTCAAGGGGATGAAAACCTATGGATCGAATATGTCCTTCATGGAATTTAAAATCATGCAAGAGCTTCCCAGCTGTTAGATCCCATACCTACATAAAATAACAGGAGGGTCATGGAAAAGATAGTTTGCTGGAAGCCACCCATTAAATGTGTGATCATTTATTAGTTTGTTACCTTTACTACATTGTCAAACCCACCAGAAACTACCCAGCGACCATCGGGCGTGAACTTAATTGTACTGATGCCCTGAGTATGACCCTTGTACGTGTGGATGCATCCCTTCTTTCTAATATCCCATATCTTTAGATTAGTGTCCGTGGAACCAGAAGCAAAGAACTCACCAAATGGATGAAATTCAATTGCAGTACAGCTGGATCTATGTCCAGTAAGTGTGCGAACCACTACACTTCAATAACAATAACAAACACATTAGAAGTTTACTGAAAATATTACTCTTACTGTCAAGGCTACTAGTCTGCAGGCGCCAATCAACAACAGGTGAAGACTTGGACACAAGAGATGTACTCATAGGTTCTCATAGCAGGCTAAGCCTATCAAGTGGGTGCCATGATCCCTTAAATTATATCACATTATCTCATGTTAAGTCTAACAAGATATCACTTCCGCCATGCATCTGTTGCCTCGCAGAATCAGAGCATGTAACAGTTCTTAAAAGGAAGAGTCATGTTTGACCAGCAACAATAAATAGATTAAGCAGCCAACTTACTCTTTGTTTCCTCAAGATCCCATATTTTTGTCACACCAGAAGAAGCTCCAGCAAGTACCAAAACTTCTGCCGAATTAAAAGCTACGGATTCAACCGGACTCGAATGACCGGCAAGACTCTGCATATTTACCCCAAAATGAATAGGAGCGTAAGCCATGGTTTCCAACAACCAAAACAAACGTGAAACCATGAAACCATAGAATTAATAAAAAGTAACGTACTTGATTATCAAAATTAGAGAACTTCCTACAACTCAATGCACATCAAAGAAAAATCCAGAAGTAGAAAACAATTACAAATTTTCCATATTGTGTTGAAAGTGCAACACTGAATATCAAAACAGGAAGACCAGTACCATTAAAGAAGTGGGTTTGCCAATTGTCCAAAGATTGACTATGTGATCATCACCGCCGGTAACAAAAAGTCGACACGCCTTTTTCCCAATATTTAGACAATTAATATTGTCTGAATGAGCCACAAATTCCTCTATATTCCATTAAGTCAAGAAAACATTCCTTTGAGAAAAATACATAATCACAAAAATGCCAAACACAATGCACAACAGGTTACCAAATAAATCTGCTCTTATGCTCCTCTCCATCCCTCGTTTTTCCATTAAAAATAAAATCCAAAATTAAACAACTAGGCGAGATTAAATGAAAATCCTAAACTAAAAATTTATAACCCAAGTTGAGTACTTTTATTGAAATCTTACCTTATTATTATCATAATGGGAAAGCATAACTGAACTAACAGAGTGACAGCCCCATTTCACGAAACGTAAAATCTTTATAAATTTGCTTATTTTCCTACATTTTCTGAGCTACCATACCAAGCAGAGCATGAAATTCGTCAATTTCCAAGCAAAAAAGAAAAAGAAAAGAAAAATCTAAATCTCTCTACTTTCAAGTTGAGCTTAGCCACTGCATGTTAGAAAGATACCACATTATAATTAGATCAAGATTGTGAAAAAACAGAGCTCAATTCCAGCTAAGCATCTCAAGAAAATCAAACATTTAGAAAAGGATACGCAGCTTATATGCGCGCTTAGCCATTCTGAGCTAGTCGGAAAAGCTGAATCCGGAGCCAAAACGACGTCGGGAAACGGAAAACTTCAACTTGATATCGGTAACTTCAGCTTGATCAGAACTAGAGCTTTGAGCTGAAGCGGCTTTTCTTTCCTTTCTCAAAAATTTCAGCTGAAATGGAAATCCAGTGAGAAATATAGGAATTGGATTCCGATGGAATAATCTAACAGACGAAGTCGATATTCAGATTCAACAGTGAAAAATAAGATGAAGAAAACCAAAGGAACTCTTTGCTTTTGAAGAATCTGAGGACCTTGACTGTCAGAGAGCGAGCACCAAGTTCTCTACTTCTTCTCTCCGCTCGCTGCTTCTGTTTTGATTGACCAAAATGCCCTTCGTTTTTAACCGTGCGAGCAGTGAAACTACGTCGAAGCCCCTGATCGGTTATTTTGTGACGCGCTGGTGTTCTACGTGTTCAATTTGGGTGGTTTGGAATTTCCAATTTTTTTATTGCTTTCATTCATGTAATTTATTTTTTAATTCTGCACTGCACGTTGGGGAATATATATTTAATTTTAATTATTTTTTATTGTCTGTGAGTGAATGGATATTTAAAATACTAATTAGATCAAATTTTATTTGGAGGTGGGAAAATGACTTTTGTCCAAAATTAGTTAGGATAGTAGACTTGCCTAATTGACAACTAACAGATTCCTTAAAAACCAGTTTCTTCTTCTTGTTTTATTTGTTCTTGAGGGTTAATTAATTGTGTAAAATAGAAATTATTCGATAAAGACATGTTACTTACATTATTAGTTAATGGTAATTATAATTTGATTTACAAATAAAGAAATGATTGGCATGAGATTTGGAAGTTTGTGGCCAAAACCAATTCATTACACAAACACAATACACAGTGCATGTGATTATCAAAATTTGCTTTCCACGACAGGAATTAATGTTTTCATTTTCACTCATTCTTCTAACTTTCAACTACCATGGATTGGACCCATTTCCAGAAGAAAAAAAGTTAGTCTTTTTTTGGTAGAATGATTGTCAGAAAACTTCACGGACCAAATAAATTCATTTAGAAGCAACCATCCACAAACTAATCAGATGAAACCATCAATTCCTGGGTTGCTGCCAAACGCATATTATTTATTAATATACCAACTGCAGTTTCAGAATCAGAAGCCTCTCCTTCAACTGTCTAAACCACCGACTGGCCACAAGTCTAAAGATTGAAAGTGAAAGTACTAATGAGAGTTGGTTCAGTGGGTTCCCTGCAAGGTGCTCGAGATTGTAGATATGCCCTAGCATTGGTGGTGAGAGTAGCCGATCTCTCCTCTAAAACTTTATAAAAAAAAAAAAAAAAAAAAAAAAAAAAAAAAGTCAAGAAAGTGAAAGCTCAGTTTTTTACAAAAGTCCAAGAAATAATGTAAGAATGAATTACAGTTAAAGTTTGGTTTTTTTTCTTTAATCAGTCCTTTTCTCTACCAATAATTGCATAACCAAACTAATCTCAAATTCATATCGGCAACAAAATGGAAATATATATAGTAATGAATCATATTAAGAGACAGCATATGTTGCATTCAAGGAGTGCTTCAACGTGTGAAGCACAGCCCTCTGTCTTTGAACTGATATAGTTTTTTGTTAAAAAAATATTTGACTGCCAATGGGGCAGTGAGTCATCCGACATCCCACACAAGCATCATGGATGGCACCCATTTTGCCATAAATCTCAAAGAATTTTTGACTCTCTGTCCCACTAGGATCTTTCGTTGCCTATCAATTTGTATTCTTGAGAATATATAGAAAACTATGTATTGACCACAGAAAGAATAACACTAGCCAAGACAAAACACACCACTAACGACCACAACTATCAATATGTTTGCGAAGGAGAAAGACCACATGCACCTCCTCTTCTAGTGAGTTAAAAATAACCACAAAACAAAAGTCTCACTTCTATTAGGCAAATAATTACATTGGTAAACAATAATCACACACAACAATTGTCCGAACATTTGCACATTAAATTATGTTAAAAGAGGTCTTGAGGACGTTGCTTTGCCCTTAAAACACTCCTCCGGAAAGTCCCCTGTCAGACCCCAACTTGCAACTTCTGCAACCTCACCATCTCGGTTGGGAAAGACATGTTTCCCAGTTAAGATTTGTTCCTCATTATGTTCATTGCCAGAGAGGCGGAGGCTCCGACTAAACCATTTGCAAGAGTTCCTGGACAATTTCAGAAATTGGTGGTCGAAACTCTGGCTCCCGCTGCAAAAAGATTGGATATAAGGTGACTTCTTGTTCTAGCTAAACACTAAACAGTCCTTCAAAAATATTTATGCATTCAAGTGTTGTTTAATGAAAATCACATGCTTTCTTTGAGACATGAAGATGTAATTCTGAACTTAAAACACATAAAACTTCTCCATATATTTATTCAATTGTAGAATTTCTAAGTTTTATATTCATTATGCATCGTCTAGCAAGAGCCTTGAACAAATAATTTGTGAGAGGTAAAGGAATGCAGAAACTCACCTGTACGCATGAGAAAATAATATCAGCAAAACGTGACAGAGACTTCATAGTAAATGCTCCATTTAGAGAGGGATCAACCATCCTTGATAATGCATCAATGTCATGAAGCTTAGGAACTGCCCATCTAACCAAATATTGCTCCCCACGAGGCCGCGACCTAGAAATTTAATAACAAGAATACATAATCTTGCATGATAGGTAATGCATTTGAGTTGAGAATTTTTAGCAGTGAAAAATGCAAGAAACACACAAGCATATTAGTCTTAATATTATTGCACACCTGTCATAGGACTTCCGCCCTGTAAGGAGCTCTAGCATTACAACTCCAAAGCTGTAGACATCACTTTGATGAGTATAACTTCCGGAATCAAACTCTGGGGCAGCAGAACCATAAGCAGTGAGGAGGTGCCCAGACATCTGAGAGTGCACAAACAAATCAGCAACAAATTATATCCTTAAAACAACTTCACAGATTAAATTGCACAGACTCTGTTATCTCCAACAGTGAGTTGGCTTCACCCAACAAGCCTGTTTATTACTGACAAGTATAATTTCGAGGTTTCAACCTAAAAGTTATGAGACTTACAGAGGGAGACATTATCAGAGGAGCTAAACCACAGTCCGAGACGTGTACTTCAAGTTTTTCATCAAGGAGGAGATTGGCAGACTTGAAATTATGGTGCACAATGGGTGGCTGACAGACCTCGTGCAAATACCTTTACCACAAGTGAAAGAAAGAAACTCAGGTACAAATGATTAATGAAATAGGTGGAGGGCCACCTCTTTGCCCAAGTGCACAAGTCAAAAATGAATAAATTACGGGTCCTTATTGCCCTGAGCCACCAATAAAGGGGAAACAACAGAGACATTAAGAATTTCTAATAACCGGTTAATGAATTCCATAAAGGAAGGTCTTGGTTTTTGAGTCATTGTTCTACTTACTCAAGAGCTCTTGCAGCTCCAAGTGCAATGCGGATGCGCACACTCCATGAAAGTTTCTGGTGGATTTCATCATCAGTATGCAGTGCATCATGGAGAGTCCCATTTCTGCAATACTCGTACACAAGTAGCCGTTGACCATGCTCAGCACAGTAACCCACTAGTTCAACAATATTAGCATGCCTAGTTGTACAGATATTAGACACTAGATCAATAAATTCCTCATCACTCTGCTCCCTACAAGCTGTATTGTCCAGTTTCTTGACTGCCAAAACCTACAAAGGAATCAAGAAGTGGAAGATTAGATGTCAGGGCAGACATAAGAAATGAGGAAGCGAACCAAAGCTTGCAAGAAACAAGCAGCATCATCCCAACCCCCAAACGGAACGAAGAAACACCACCACGTCCAAAAATAACAGACAGAAGGTATAATGTAGAAGGAAAAACAAGCCAAACGACCAAATGGTCAGATGGTAGTCCCCGCAGTCAACAAAAAAACAAAGGAATCATACCTTTTGATCAGGAAGCTTAGCCCTGTAAACACTGCCAAGCATGCCTGCTCCAATAAAATTTTCTTCAGAGAAGCTATTGGTATACTGCTGAAGTGATGCAACAGTAAAAACTTTTACAGAGCTTGGGTTTGGACTCTTCATGGGACACCTGCTTGTAGTTACTCTAGTAGGCCCAACAGGATTTGTGGTATCCTTAGCAAGGAAAAACGGGGGAGGGGGTGGTGGCAAAAATTCTGCATCCATGTCTGTCACGTCAACCACATGATCCTTCTTATGCATTGAACTTTCAGCAATACTTTGCACATCTATCTTGTTTTCCTTTTGCGGCTTTGGAATTACAACCATTCTGTTGCTGTCCACTCCATATCCATCCAGTGGTTTCATAAGTGCCTCTTTTGGGACTGTTAAAGAAGTTCAAAAAGGTACCTTTATGTACAAGCAGAACTTAGATGTTTGAGTAAAATGATAGAAATAAAGTTACCTTTCTCCATTGGAACACCTTCCGGAAGTGATGATTCACTGTGTTTAGTACTCTCCCTAGGGATCTTATATGTATTAAGCTCATGCTGCTTTGCTTTCTTGTTTTCTCTCCTTCCTTTGAAACATCTCACTAGAAGACACAAAATTAATACAATAAGTACTAAAATTCCTCCAACAGCAATCCAAGTGACCGTCTTGGCTGTCAAAAATTTCCTAGGTGTAGCAGAATTTAGTGTTACTGGGGAAGAAGGTCCATTAGTCTGTTTCCAAGGTTGTTCAGAAGAAGAAGGTGCCCTGGCTAAGAACGAAGGTGCTGGTGCTGGAGGTGATGGAATAATGGTAGTATTGAAAGGATTTCCATCTTTTCTGCACAGCAGATGTCACCATTAGTAAAAGGAGAAAGAGGTTTAAACAAGACTACATACAGTAAAACTTCTGGGGTAGATTGCCATAGGAATGAAGAACAACCCAAACAACATGAATATACTGAGACAGAAAGTGATAGCGATATAATCTTGCCAAAATAATACAGTGACACCATTCTACAATGATAAAACCATTTTCTAAGTAACTGTATTCTAGAGGTCTAAAGGCAACTTACTTTTTGTAAAACAAAAATTCCCTGGTTGGCAAATGGAGTTATGTCCAATTTCTACTCTTAAATAATGTGTTTTCAGCTTTTTACTATCATAACGTTTACATGGCACAATCCAGTTTAATGCATAAAACAGAATAACTTTATTATTTCATTTATGGTGTGATGCTTCAATCCCGAAGTTTATGTTTTATTTTCTGCCCAAATTATTTTAAAGAATCTCATAGGTTCGTCTATAAAATGACATAATCTTAGTAAAATAAATAAATAAATAAATAACTAGGAGAAACTAAGGAAGCATATTAGTGGCACAAGTTTCAATGTTAGCATAATTCATGTTATGGAAAGGTTTATGCCTAACAATAACTCCAACATGAATATTTGTGTGAGTGTGAGTGTGTATGTGTATCAACAAACTAGCAAGAAGAAAGTTTTCCTCAGGTTTACCTGAAATCTGGAATACTAAGCAACTTTGCAGGTATTGGCCCTGAGAATAAATTGTTTTCAATGTTCCTACATCAGAAAAGAACAATTTTGAGTTGCTGAAGAGAGCTTCTGAACTAAAATGGAATCATCTCTCAAGCAAACATGCAAAGAAAAAGCTATGAGACCAATTTAAGCTATAAAGGATGTCAGAACTTACAGATCCTGTAGGGGAAGATCCTGTAACACATTAAGGGTTCCAACCAGGCGATTGTTCTGCAAGTTCCTGCATTTAAGAAATATTTACAGTTAGGAAAGATTAGGCATGGATAATAAATAGCTGATGAGATATCTTATGCAGACAGTAACTTATCAGGCACCACTAGTTCCAAAAAACTCAAGTTTGTCAGGGAAACTCACAATGTAGAAAGAGATGACAAATTACCCAATGAGGGACACAGTTGACCACTTAAATTATTACCAGACAGATCCCTGCACCATGATATATCATTATGACCGAAACGAGGAACTGTAAAACAAAGGAACACTAACTGAATCAATTAAAAACCCATACAATCTGTTTAAACCAGTAAGCAGTTGAAAGGCATCTGGCATTTCACCGCTGAGATGGTTATTGTCTAATGACCTGACAGGAACATAGAAATGGAATCATATTGAAATGAAAAAAGCCAACAAACTAGATAATTACCAATACAACATCAAGAAAAGCAATGGTTGTATGAAATCTTACAGTTGCAACAACTGAGTTAAAGATGACAAACCACCTGGGATGCTTCCAGTGAACAGATTATTTGATAGAGAACTAAAGAAGGGGAAGTAAAACATTTAATCTTGTTATGAGCTGTGCAAAAAAGGATATACTGACTGCTAAACAATAGTCAAAACTGACTGGGGTCCAGACATACACGTTCCTGACAGTCAGGGGCAAAGGTGATGGAATACTCCCTCCAATATGGTTGTTGCTCAAATCTCTGGTCCATAAAATATAACAAAGCTTCATAAGATTATGTATATAAATTCAAAGAACGTAAGCAGGACAATTCCAGTCAGTGGGTAGACTATTCAGATGCTGAAAACCAGAAAATGCAGAATGATTGAATTAAACCGATTATTTATTCACTTACACAGCAGAATAAACCGATTATTTATTCACATATAGATGGTGACCCAGAAGGTAAATGGAAGTCAGGTTTCAAACCATTATGAAAGGCAGATTCAGAAAATAGCTTAAGAAGTTAATCTGAATGATGTGAACCTTAGCTATATGATAACTGGAAGCACAAGACCAACACTTCAATAGAAAAGGAGACTCACATTTCTATAATTGACCCGAAGAGTCCCAAGCTATCACCCAGCTGTCCTCCCAGTTTCGCTCCATTGAGCTTTCTGTTAATCCAACTAGCTCAGAAAATACAGCTTAAAAGATTCGATTGTGCTATTTACAAAAGAAGGAATCAACATACAATCCTGTTATGTTTGAGAAGACGCAATCAACCCCTTGCCAGTGATCACCACATGGGTCTCCTCCAACAAGAAGCCACCCTTGAAGAGGTGGGTAGCCTAGAGCAACGTATAAGCCATTTATTGCTGCAACTGAAAGACAAACGTGCACAATAACCATATATTCATCCATAGTAAGAAGAAAAGCTCAAGACTTCAAAAATCATAAATAGCAAAACAGCAGAATATGAGAGTAAAGGATTGAATTTTTTTGACAGATTCGAAAGCCAGTTGCTAGCAAAAGCCAGTTGCTAGCAACTTTTGCTTCTAACTTGCCTCAAGTTTTCCCAGGAATCAAACAGAGGACTATCAGGGCATATAAATAGCTTAGAAAATTTGAATGCTGTACTTACCATCAAGTGGGTCAGTCAATGCAACAGAAAATGGCACAATGAGAATCAGCATCAACCCAATGAAGAACTGCATGTGTATCTCCCACCTCACACAACCCATTCCAGGCTGCGTCAAGAAACCAACTTTTTTGTCGTTATTTTATTTTATTTTCCCACCAAAAGAAGTAGCAAAACCCTTGAACATGAAAAACCTCAATAAAAAACCACAAAGAGTTCTAAACCAAGCTAAAAAGTTCAAAGCTTCCAAAACGCCATGGCTGTGTATAACGAACTATATGAAGCTTGAAGGTGCGAGATGAACTGGGTTCAGCTAAAAATTGTGGTTAGCAAAAACAACGCGGGCAATTATGTCTAAGATTTCTGAGACTGAAAATGGAAAATAAATAATAAATTATCAAGTCTTTGATGGGCTTTGATAGAGAAAGAAAGCAGCAGCTGAAGAAAAAAAATTCGGACTTGAACAGTTGCACTGCCTTTTCGAGAAAAGCAGGAAGTGCTCTGTACCTGCTGCTCTATATACATGTATTTTTTTGAAAGAGATGCGTTTCGAATTTTCAAAAGTTTGAAAAAAATTAAACCGTTTCTTTTTGGTCCTTCTGATTTTTTTGTTTCTTGGACATTCTCTCCACTCAAATTATAAATTATAAATTATATCATGCTTAAGATAGCTGGGAACTCCGCGCCGGTTCTTTTTGCTTTTTATAATCAAATCCCCCACTTATACAAGGCCCAAGGATGCGAGTATAATAATCCCAAGCATATCTTATCCTTTAACAGCTATTTGGAAGTCCCCTGCACCTTGTTTTTTCTTGTTGGTTCGGTACATTTCATGGATGGTTTGAACTCCTTCATGAAAGAAAACGACAAAACTACGTCGGGTTGATGGATTTATATCATATTTGAGAAGACTTTATTTAGATATGCTCGAATTGGTTATGACTTTAGAAAATTTAGTCATGCCTCGTCTAGAAAGAGTACACTACATCGAAAGAGTGGAGGTAAAATTGAAAAAACTAACTAACTTGTGTGTTCGAAAAAGTGGAGGTAAAATTGAAAAAATTAACTAACTTGTGTGTACTTTCTCGTCCCCTCGTTATGAATTTATGTTGTGCTTAGAATGCACACAAGACCGTGTTAGTAATTAACTATAACAAAAAACACATGTAAACCAACCATGAAGAACTGCACACACGGGACAATGTGATCAATTTAAAAAAAATTCACAGTAAGAATAAAAACAATTTTAGTTTACAATCAAAACCCCCTTAGCACTAGATTGTTTAACCTAACTCCCCAAAGTTATATTTATACCATATAGGACTTACATTATAATACAACCCGAAGTAGGAAACAAAAACCCTACTAAATAGGTTTAAAAAAAGGTAAAAGGGGAAAGCTTGCACGACATGATAAATTATTGCACCTCCTAGGCAATTGCCAAACAGGCTTTGGCCGAACAAGAAACTTATAATCGTGAGGGGATGGGTATCAACCTCTTAACACATTTTAATCAAAGAATAATGCTATTTGGACACACAACATTGACACACTTAGTGACACCCGCTGACGTGTCAATGTATCATTTGCTCTTCTTTTCTCCTCGTTTTCTATTCAGCAAATGATACATTGACACATTAGCGAGTGTCAACTAAGTGTGTCAATGTTGTGTGTCCAAATAGCATTACTCTTAACCAAAAGAAAACAAACTCTAAACACATTTTAACCATATTTATAATTTATTGTTGAGATGGATACAATCCCAACCATATTTATATAGAAAGAATTCATGTAGCTGGCACTCATGTGACTCATACGTCAATTTCTCACATGACAGTTAGGGCACACCAATGCATGATGAGTGCCATGATTGGTGAGCAAACTTAATTATTATAAAATACATGGATTTTTTAGAAAGAAAAAAGTATGGACTTGTGGGCACGGAATCAGCTTTATGCTCCCTCGGCAGAGTCCAGGGTCCTGACTAATTGCTTTATCTATGTGAATGAATGATTTCATGTAAACCAGAAGCACGCAATATTAATTATTGAAATCTGGGAATAGTTGGTGGCTTTATTTATCCAATAAGGGACTTGGGTTCTGATCTTTTACTTGGCAACTTTGTTCTGCATTTTTAGTGGCCTATTCATATGCGTCAAGATCACGTTTGATGATCCAATCATAGAATCCTTCTACATCATCAACACCCACCAAACTTATCAAACAGCCTGTCAAGCATTGTAATCAGTATCTAGCAATTGCATTCGTTTTCTTTCTCCTCAAGAGTTAATTGCTGTCCTCCCAGAGAAGAACACATAAATTTCAGCTGAATAAGTAGATTAATTAGATGAACAAAGACAGATAAGTGAGCCTTGAACAAAGGATTGAGTGTTAAAGAAAACAAATTCCAAAACCAAAAAAAAACCATTATATTTGTTTTCTTGTTGATCCAAACTCATCCCAAGGCCGAAACCAGCCCAAAGTTACCAACAACAGTGAAAACTTCCATCGGCATGCATGGCAGGCCCAAAGACATCTATGCCACAAAGAAAAGCAAACAAAGGCTTGTAATGTAACACTCGTTTACTATATCTCCTTGGCCACAAACGAAAAACACAATTGTAGTAAATTAAGAGGGAGGCCTGGGCTACCTGGCTTTAGGCAAAAGAAACATCCAACCCAAGGCTTGGAGGACTTGTTTTCTTCCCTTTCTGATAAGCAACTTCTGGCTCTGTTCTGTGTCTGGGTCTTTACTTTAGGCAGGTGAATTCTGCAGGAGGTACGATTGATACACATTAAGCCACGTGTCCCGAAGATCTTTTTCTTGCCCTTCTTCTCACACGTTTCTGTCTGTGACTCTGTCGAATTAAAGGAGGAACTGACCCCCAATTTTATATCCATTTTTTTACAATTTTGTTTTTACTTCTCAATATGCCAATTCTTTGTTCAGTTCACTGCTTAGTGCAGATCTTTCTTTCTTTCTTTTTTTTTGGTCAACAGATCTTTCTTTCTTCTGTTCTTTCTTCCTCAACAGTTTAATCTCATTGGTCATGTCCCATCTCATCTGGTTCTTTCATAATTCCTACTGATGATTTTATCATAAATTCCACATTGGTTTATTGTAGCCATGAGCCAACTGTCATTAATTATCTCATTAGGGATCCCAACTGTTATTAGCAACTATTATTTCCCTTTTTAAATCCAACTTTAGTATGCACAGCACAGTACTAGTATGGTAGTGTAGTGAAATGCTAAGAAGGTTTGGTTGAGTTGATAAGGATCATTCCCTTGGTCATTTAGGTCTAAGTTCAAGTCCTATTGCTGACAATTTTTTTTGATAAGTAATCTGTAAAAACCAAAAATGAAGTTAAAACTCCCTATATAAATTCTCAAAAAGACATTAGTATGCTCTGACCCTAAAATAGGACAGCCTCTCCTTCCTCAAAACTTTTTGTTACCAACAAAAAAATAAAATTTGCTCATTGCTATATATTCACGACAAGTTAATAGTTAATATATTTATAACCACTGAGCCATGTTCCAGTGTACCACACTCAATTACCTGTGGAGTGGCCATGGTGTACAGTCCCATACGGATTAGACATCATACTTGTCTCTTTGCTTCACATTCACATGCACATGCACTGCACAGATGTGACAAAAACAATTGCATTGCCATGGAAATAATGAAAGATAACATGCGGCGCTTCTTAAGAATCCAAGGAAAAATGATGAGCCAGGCACAGATCACGAGACAATTATCACATGAACCTTAAGATAATATACAAAAATTTGGACTAAACTCAATAAATTAGATATCGATGTGCTAGTATACTCTTTGCTAGATCTCCTTCTACTTGTTTTTTTTGAAAATATATCTTTCCTTTTACCTTTTGTCCTCCTACCTCATATTGCATTTGTGTCAACAGTTGGAGACCCTACCTGCAATGCAATAATAAATACATTTCATTGACCCCCAAAGCTCCCAACCTTGAGTATTTTCATCCAGAACCCCTGACCAGTCCTTTCCCTCTGCTGCTTTTTATAGCAATCAAATTATGACCACCACCCACCATCGTAAAGCATGGTCTGTGACCTCAATTCCGGCAACAATGACCAGCCCAAACCCCACAATGCCTCTTCCAATTTGATTAAAGCCTACAGCGGCAGCAGCAGCAGCAGCAACACTCACTCACAGCCCACAAGCAGCTACTAGCTAGTAGCTTCTCATTAGCAAATCTTGTTTGAAACTTTTGAAAACAATCAAATGGGTTGCTGTATGAGCACCACTACCGCTGAAAAGTCCTCAGCTTTAGGTCCTCAAAAGCTGCAGCATTCTTTGGTGGGCACTCAAGGACCAAGATCTGATGATGCCCATGACAGCAGAGCACCACCTCCAGTAGATGAAGAGACTGTGAAAGAAGTGCTTTCTGAGACTCCAAGGCCCAAACCAACACCATCTTCACCACCACCACCACTCATGCCTTTCACAAAGCTCCAAGAACACGAGCCAGAAGATCAAGATCAAGAAAAGAGAGCCCAAGAACCAGTCTTTGAGAAGAAAATCAAGCAAGAAGACCCAGAAAAGATTGAGGAGAAAATACCCATTTACAACAACAATGGAGAGATCTCAGAGGTATCGGAGATTTGCAGCTTGAGTGAGAGCATGTCCACCACCACCATTACCAGAGACGACGATGAAGAGGTCCATCAAAGGGTCAACAGGTCTCCGATGAGAATACCAAAGAACCGGGACCCAATAGGCCAGAGGAGAGACCGGGTCGTGGGTAAGTCTCCGACCCGGAGAACTGAGTCGTCGCCGGGTCGGAAATATGGGCCAAATGGTAATAATGGCGCTGGGTCAGTGAGATTGGTTCAGAGCAGAGAACCGGGTCCCGGTCAACAGCCACTGTCCCGGCGTGGGTCGAGGGCCGAGTCGAACCGGTGTGGGTCGAGGGCCGAGTCGAACCGGCGTGACCCGGGTGAGAGTTCGGGGCGGAGGTCCAGGTCACCGGCTACAAGGGTTACGGATGGTGGCGGGGCTAATAGAGCGAATGTGGGTCGGAGCCCGTCTGCCAGGAGATCCGGGAGGTATCCGGGTCGGACCGCGGTGGGTCAAGTTGAGAGTTCGGGTTCAACCCGGAGAGTTGCAGAGGAGCCTATGATGGAGGAGGGTAAGTGGCCCGCCAATGAGTCTATTGACAACCCACTTGTTTCTTTGGAATGCTTTATTTTTCTATGAATTTGGGAAATTAAAATGTAACTGTGACCTGAATCACTGAATCCGGAGCCCCATCTTCTTCTTTCTTTGTTTTTTTGGCTTAGAACTCAGTCAACTTTGGATTTTCTGGGATGTTTAGATTATGTAAATAATGGTTATGTCAAAGGTCAATATGGGAATTTGGGGTACGATTTTGCAATGTGAAGCAAGTTCCTGACAGGAAATTTGATTAGGTAACAATGCCACTGGTGTCACAGTTTGTAATTGTACGGATAGTTGGATACGTCATCTGCCATTAATTGTGGTCTTGTTAGTTGGATATATTTTCCTTTCTTGTACTAGTTAGTTTGTGTTTGTGTAAAAGATGATACCTTTGCTTTGCTGAGAGAGTATTGCCTGCTTTTCTTACACCAAAACTATTTGCATGTTGCCGTTCTGAAAGATTGATGAAACTTCACAGCATAAACTAGTGAGAAACAGAACAGAATTTGCAATTATAATTTACAGTTTGTGCTGCACTGCCTGTCAATAGAATAATCCAAGCAAGTGTTTAACTTGTTATAGAAGGCGGGTTTCCTTTCAATGATTTGGAGGGGCATTGTAATTTGTAGTTTCTACTTTTAACTTTTATTTGTTCCTCCCTCCTATGACCCGCCCTTGTTCACAACCAACCAGACAAAGCATGAACATTTGCAACTCATTCTCACACTTTAGCCACATCTGTTTGTTTGGGGCAGCAAACCCAATAATAACAATTATAATACAAAAAGAACAAGGGGATTTGGATCAAATGGGGTTATTCAGAACTTTACTGATGAAGATTTATGAGAAATGAGGAATTTGGAAGTTGAAACTTTGACTAGGAGTAGGAGGGAGGAAGGGAAACTGATTTATTTTTGTAGCCGTTGGGGTAAGTAAGACAAATTGATTTGATAATAGACAGTGGTGGTCCTAATCCTAAGTTTATTTATTCTTTTCATACATTCACATTGTGCCGTTGCTTTGCTGGTTTTGGTTTCATTCATGGATTTGGTGGCCTATTTCTCCAATATCAACTATTTTGGACTGTTTCTTAAACTTTCTGTGGTGTGCTTTTCATGCTGAGAGACTATACAACTCACTTTTTAATCCAATAATATAAATATGCGAAATTGGATAGTCAGACTCAGAGGAGGCATTTCTTCTGAGGGTTTTCAAAGTTCAAAATTTAAGCCCGAAGGAAGGTACCATCCGAGTGCATTATTGTTGTGGAAGATTATGAAATTTTGGCTTCCGAGGATTTCTAGCAAACTGCTGCACTAAAAGATTGGGCCCAAAGTCGTATCATAGTCTAAGCCCACCTTTTTTGCCCAACTTGTGTCTCTGCCCCAAAAAATATCTCTACCAATGATTTAAACTCTTGCAAGAAATGTTACAAGTTTAAAAAAATTCATTGTTTTTTGTTGGTGATACATGAAATCTTATCTTTCTTTTAGGATAACGTAAGTAATAAGGCATAATATTTTGTCAGTTGCCATAAATATATGAGTAACTGGTTGAATAGTCACCTATTACTCAATAGTCAATACCAATCATAAACTGTTTACAATGTACAGAGACACTTATGACTGATCCATTTAATGGGCATTATAATCCATCTTCAAGGATCCAATTCATTTGGAAAATCTGATCATAATGGAAAGTAAAGGGAAAGTGAAGCAAGCTGCTGCATTCAGCTGCAAAAGCCAAATCCCCCCTTCCCAAGTAAATGACATATACAGAATCAGGTGATCTTGCCTGAAGAAAAATTGGGCAATTGGAGTTGTTGTCTACAAATTCTTGCTTGCATCATCCTAACTTCTGCTCCATCTCATGCTCATAAATAGAATTTGATATGAAAAAACAGGCTTTTCTTGTTTAAGTTGTGTACTTGTCAACTTGAGTTTGAGCTCATGTTCGAATTTGAGTTTGAGTTTGAGGTGGGGTTGGGGTTGGGGTTGGGCAAGGAAATATGCAGATGTTGAGGCAAACAAATGCGTTCTGGGGGGCAAGGCACAGGGGCTGGATGTGCAATGAAGGTGGGGATAACATCTCCAGGCATCAACACTGAAACTCCACTTGCATACACAGTCATCTGCATAAATAGACAAAATGAAAAACCGATAAGCTAGAACTTCAGAAGTACAATACCTTGAAGTTGGCTTGAAAAGAGAATCAGAATTGACAACGTATCAAAACACTATCCAAATTTCGAGGAAAATTGCATAAATAAATTATGCTTAGTCAAGCCTTTTCCAGCAAAACAAATCAATCTCCACATCAAGTTGTTGCTACATCACACACCAAACTAATGAAAAATCTCTAGTTGCAAAATGCTATGACTCTGTTTAACAATGCCTAGTGAGTTGCACAACCCATCTCTGGTTATATGCTGAAGAGTATATATACTGGTCAAGGACAGGAAAGAAACAATATGAACAAGAGGAAAAATTAAAGCTCCTTGCTTTGTCAAGAATCCACAATCTCATGGATGTAGGCTCGATCCAAGACAGACATTTCAAAATGACAAACAAGTGACAGTCATGATCCACCCGAAAATAATTAAATAAACAGGATCAACAAAAGCACCAATGACAATGGTTCATAAAAACATTGTGAGATCAAACACCAAGGTTAGTTTTCTACTGCCAATGCTGTTATGTTTGCTTTCATTGAGTCATTACTTTTTGCACATGCTAAGGTGACCAATCCAATTATTTAAATAATCAAAAAATTGCATCAAGGATATAGTGTGAACAAGATGCCTGAATGACATGGATAACCTGGATAGTGCACATTGCTCTGGCAACAAATGATATATGTAAATCAATAAACAGCAAATCCCCAACAATAAACAGCACTTTTGAAACCTGATCACATGCCTGTGTTTGATGATGGTCTTCCTCTTCTACTACCTTTACTTTTCCAACTAATTAGATAATGTTGCAATGTCATCCTAACTACGAGCATATGCATTTGACCTTTTGCTTTCTAAAATAATATTAGTGGATGCTGATAAAACAATAGTTAATAAGGATTTAGTCTGCTGTACTTAATTTGAGCCTGTTTTATTTCAACATTACTGCCAAGGCTTATAAGTTTCTACAATCACACACTTGGCAACCTCAAACTTCCTGATACAAGAACTGAACAGCATGTGCCCAACAAATTCAAGACAATTTCCGAACACAATCGGCCTGTAATGTTCATAGTTTTATGTTTCACTGACATCTATATACTAGCAAAACACCTCACAAAGTCGACAGAACCTTATTTTTATCAATTTGTTTGATTTTCTACCCACCTATAGCAGGAGAAAACCTTTTTTTTTAGCATAACCATGTAAGTGGGAACCCTTTGTTTGAAGATTTAAGCAAGTTAATCTGATTCAGATGGAAAATTTTCAATAATGATAAAACCTTACATAAGCATGCAACAACAACATATAAATATCTTTATTCCATTTGTTTCCTAGTTTAGTGAAGCTAGTTGGATGCACGATTAAAAGCTATACAATATATAAAAAAGACAATAAACTAAGACTTACTCAGAACGAAAATTTGACCACCTGTCTCCGGCCTGGGGCTCAAAGCCATGCTATCATAAAAGATTGCCAGTGATGGTTCTGATGAACACCACACACAGTGGTGGGTCTAAACACCTAGTACGTACAATCCCAAGTCACTTTGCTTGGGACCAAGCACCAACCACTAAACACACAACTACTTAGATGGGCCCTTGCCCACAGACCACTGTATTAATTACAAGAAAGCAAAGTTCTTGGGAACTCATGGAAAATTCAAATCGAATAAACTCAGAAACACCAAATGATGTGTAAAACTGTAATTTAGTAAGAAGAGAAAGAACAGCATGATGGTCTGTATGGCCATTACAAGAACATGGGAGTGGGAAGGTCTAACAATGAAACTGGAACTGAATCCATTGTTCACATAATAAGTAGCTATTTGGTGACTTAAAAGAGGAACATAAAAACTAATAAAACAGGGAAAGACAAAAACTCGATTTGAGAGGTTCAAGGAAATTTCAGTAAAACCAAAAGTGGGGGTGGGGGAAGAAATTGAGGACTTCAAATAGAAGCTGGAAGTGTGCAAGAGATGTAATGCTTCGAAAAAAAAAAAAAAAAAAAAAAAAAAAAAAAAAAAAAAGTGTAATGAGCTAAAACTTCAAACTTGTAATTCCATTAGCAACAATGCAGAATTATAAAAGAACTTATTGTCAGAGAGATAACCATCACCTTAATATACGCAACAACAAAAATAACCACCTAAAACTGTCAAAGATACTTTCCTAAAATCCATCACCATTTCCAAGTTTGCTTCTTGTAACTAAAAATATTAAAAATTACAACTTTTCCCAGAATCAAACAGAGCCTTACAGGGCTGAAGAAAGACAAACAAGTCATACCAAAATGCAATTCAAAACATGACCCAGAAAACTTTTTGGAATGTAATCAAAAAGCAAAAGAATTTGGTTTTTGGTGGCTTACTTTGGGTGAAGGGTGGCTGAGTTTTCCATTGAAGCCCAACTGGGCCTCAAGATCTCCGCTTCTCCGGCGACTGGACGGTGTCAAATCCGACGAGGTGGGTCTGAGGAATCTCTCAAAGATAGCCATGACTAAGAACATGGAGATGAGAATGGCAGTGGCTACGAAACCAAACGACACCGCATTGACAGAGCTATTAAAAGCAGGAGGGCTGCCCGGATGCTCATCTCTCTGCATGTTTAGTGGAGCTCCTATTGGCGGCCATTCAAAGCTATGTTCTTTCACAACAACCATTTTCACCTCTCTCACTCTCTCTATATATCTAGGTCCGATTCATTCATACCATGTTAATTTCTACGTAACTTTTCTTCCAAGTGTGTAAGTGTGGATGTAAGAAGCAGAAAGAGAAGCAGAGAGAGGTTTTTGTGGCAGCAGTAAAGGCTTTTTCATTTACACCATTATCAAGGCTTGTTGGAGTACTTAAACTGGTAAGAGAGAGAGAAGCAGGCAGGGCATGTGGGCTATCTTCACAGAGAGGTGAAAAAAATAGGAAGCTATGAAATTTGGATAGCCCCTAGACACAATAATATATATATACAATAAACTAATGACCAAAATAATAATAATAATAATTTGAAAAAAGGACAAATTGTCAAATAGCCACTGAAGATGACTTTTCAGTTTCTGTATCCAAGACTGGGATAAATAGAAGGGCCTTTTCTTTAGCCTTATTTATGGAGGTTCCACATGTTTTTAGATTAAACTTTTGTAACATTCCAGCTTCACAAATTGCACTCATGCTCTGTTTTTCCGAAAAGTTAGATGTGTTTTTACTGCAGAAACTTTTCTCATAATTTTGGGCTGCAGTTTTGCATAAGATGGCTTGAAAAAAAGAAATGTTTGCTTTGTTATTTCTTTTCTGTCAAACCAACTTTAAGGTCAATCTCACAATTATGACCAATATTTATCACCTTTTGGTGTGTATTTATAAGCCTCTTTTATCTGGAAAGAAAGATCGAGGACACACAACATGCAAAATGGGAAAATCTGAGTTCCTAGCCACAAGATGCAGAGACAGTTTAGGCCCAAGGAATATCTTTTCCTTCCTTTTTTTTTATATCCAAAGACATGCATATAACATCGATGGCCACATGGGCCATGCCAGCTCCAAACACATTTTCTCTTTTGTTTTGTTGTTTCTTTCCAGTGAAGGGGACCTGGGGAGGGCAGCCCTGTAGCCTAAGTAACTTACTTGTGCTTGGACTGACTTACTCTCTCTAAATACCACAGGATGTTATTCAATTTACCAAAAATACCATTCTTCCATTGAAGCTGTAGCTTGTTTGATGCTAGCTCAAAGGAGCTGTTAGTGAAATTAGTGGCTGAAACATGGGTATGTATGGTAAATGTGGTATATTATCCAAAGTGATAGTTGCTGTTATATCGAACAGAACACAGAGAGAGAGAGAGGGCTAGGGCAACAATTTCCATGGGAATTGGGAAAGTTATGAAACAAAGTAGAGTACCATCTACTTGCTCTCTTTCTCATCTCGAAAAGGGCAACAGGGACCCTATGGTCCCTACAGTTAATCTCATTAAGAAATAGAAACTCATGTCCATGAGTACGTGTCGTCCCTAGTCATTAGGCAATTAGCTGCTTCCTTCACCCTCAATATTCTTTATATCGCTCACATTCATATGCTTGCTCGGAGAATGGTAGGGTTACTACTACCGACCGGACGTGTTACTAATTTTTAGCCGTTAATGTATGTGGTAGGCAATAACAATCAGACGTAGCGGTCACTTTTCTACTATGCTTGTTTGAAGAATGGTAGGGTTAGTACCAAATAGACGTGTGACTTATTTATAATCGTTGATGTATGAGTTACTATTAATTGGATGGGTGATTGATTTATAATCATTGATTTTTGTGAAGTTTAATGTGGCATTCACGTTGTTATGATCAAAAATCTTCCGCATGTATGTGAATACTGAAAGTAAAGTGTCTTTTTTATTTTTGTTCTGATTTGACTATGGGCATCCGAACATGTTATCAATTCACTATTTTTTTTTCCTCACACACTGTAAGAAATCATTGTAGTCAACTTGGTATCGTTTATACTGAAGATGGTTGTTGTTCATATTGGCAACTTGAGCACACTGGAGACAGACCCCAGCTTAAAAACCCATCTTAAACCTTCATTAACCACATGCACATGCAATTTGTCGGGCTGTGTGCCTATGTCTCCCTGAGCAGACCCTCCAAACCCACGGTCCCCACTGTTCCTTTTCCACGTGGCACACCAATAAACAGCCTATTTGTTGCCACGTGGCATGAACTGGACTTGTCCAACATGAGTGAAAAATAAAATAAAGGCATTAAGAGGGCCAAAGTCGAAATCACTCTGCTTTCATCTCTCGTTTCCCCATGACAAAACCGACATATCAGCTTCCCGTGTCGGGGTTTCCAGGTCCTAACCAGCATGTGGAACATCTTAATCCTCGAGGATTGTTCCCCATGTCAACGACTCAGATTCAATTCCCAAAGATACCAAATCCTGGCCGTCCATTTCATTTCACCGATACGTCTGTTTTGAAATTAAAAACAAATAATAGTTTAAATTATTATTATATAAATCCATTTCACCGATTCTTTTTTTGTTTGTCGATAGTCAAAACTCAAAGTCACACGGGTCAAACACCATCAGCCTATGCATGATAGGCCAGTAGTACTATAGAGTGAGTGTGAGGTCAGACTTGTACAATCTCACGCGTGCAAAGGCAGAGAGAGGGTTTATCGTGGCACGTGCGGTGGCGTGTGCAAGTGTAGAAATTTTGCAAAAAGCGCTTTTGTAAGTTTGACGGGGAGTAGGGCAGATATTCGGAGTGCATGGAGAGTGTCAGGGGGGGTGGGGGGTCCACTGCAGACCAGGGTCAGGGTGGCTCAGTGTGGTTGGGGTTGGGGACCATGTCATGAGATGGTGTGGAAGACGCAAGGGACCGACGGATCAAAGGTGAGTGAGTGAGTGAGTGAGTTAGTGAGTCAGTTTGTGGGGTGGCTCGTGGCAAAAGATTTCATTTGAGTTTGATTTCATGGCTCACGAGTCACGTGAATGATGAATCTTTTGCTTTCGCTTTCTTCGGCTGAGAGTTTTCGGTTTGCTTTCTCTTCTTTTGAGGGTGCCAAAAGCTGAACCACGCCCCTTGACCACTTGAAAGCTCACAAACTGGGCTAAGGTACACTAGAAAAAAAAAGTAAAAGAAAAAAAGAAAAAAAAAGAATGACCCAAGTCCATTTTCAGCCTAGGAATTCAGAAAAGGAAAAAACGTTGGATCTTGGGTCCCACTTACAAACTGGATATGGCCAACCAGAGAGATGGACCATACCAGACCAGATTGGGTTGGTCATTGGTGGCTCCCTATCTGGGCTTTTTCACGGCAAGCATGGCCCTTGGGGCATGTGGGACATTGATAGGGCCCAATTAGGGGGCAACTTCATGAAGTCGCGGCATACAAAAGATGAAAAGGGTACTTATGTGGGTTCAACCGGTTGGTTAAGATCGTGTGTCCGTCTCATCTATTGTGTTGCTCGAGATGAGTGTAAAAGTTTTAATCTGAAGAAAACTAGTGAAACAAAAACATAATAATGATTTACAGTTTACTTGAAAGTGATCAAAAGAAATATAATAATGATTTTAGGTCACGTTCATTTCTTTCCAATTTTGGACGAGCATCATGGAATGGGATGCCTGCCCTATGATGGAAGACAAGAAAATCTCCCCCACAAGCCTGTAGGCTATAGGTTGGTTTATAATATTCTTTTGGGTGTTTGGCAGCAAGCACAATGCACCTCCCTAGTAGGCAGATAGAGAGCGAAGATATCAAGGTGGCTGATTTGGCCTAGCCTCCTAGCTAGATAAATCCCATTTTCTGGTTTATATATGTTTCCAACCATACAAATACTAATTAACTACTAATTGGCAGCAAAACAAAATGACCCAACTCAAGATAAATGAAATGATCATCAATATATTACAGAAAAAGCAGCAAGAATAATAAAAAGCAACGGATATTATTTTTCTTATTTTGTCACAAGGTGTGCAAAATCATCAGGACTGCTCCATAAAGTTCACAACTTGGGCATAATCCACCTAATTAAGACAGCTACCGAGGAAACTTACGGATCAGTCAGCAAAACCTTATACAATAACAATAATATTAATCCATAATACCATACTAATTAACTACTAATTAAGCAGGTACCAAAATATATATATATATATATATTTTTTGCTGCTATGCTAGTAACGAAAAACAGCTGATCATGTGAGTTGAACAACACAGCAATGCCCACAAAGCTCTTTATCTCCATCCTCCTCCATCGGCTCCATGCTTGTCCACGCATCACTGGTTGCTGAGACATCAAATTTATGAACGATCGACATTGTTCTTGACAATTCTCTGTATATGCCATACCCTGCCAGGAAGTACAAGTTAACGCCAATGGGTGCCATTGTTAGGTAACGCCTCTGGCTAAGTGCCCAATTGTGATCATCTTGCGTGCCCAATGCAGATATCAGGGAATTCAGACTTTGTATTTGGGACCCTTCAACTTCATTCCATATGTTGAGCTTCCCATCATATGACTCAATGTGACCTTTCCATTGCTTGTAGCAATCACCAGAGCTAAAAAGCCTCCCATCTACTTCCACAATTTGATTTGGTGGCACATCCAATTGCCACATCCCCACTATGAGGTCCCACATCCTTGTTTGCGTGTCGTACACCTCAGCACAGCTGCGCACCATTATTGGAGGCAGCTCTGAGTCAGCCCTCTCTGCGAAACCTCCCACCACGTAGATTTTACCCAACCATGTCACGCCCACGCAATTGTACCTCAATGTGCTCATGTTAGGCAGAGGGGTCCACTCGTTGAGCTCGGGATCGTACACCTCAGCTAATGGAATCCCCCTTGCGCATGCTAGCGTGGACTTACCCCCGGCCACATAGATCTTGTTCTCGGAAACTGTGCAGGCAAAGTCACACCTCGGGATGCCAAGTGGCGCACACGTTGACCATTGGTCAGACCCAACATTGTAACGCAACACAGATGAAGAGACTTCAATATCCACGTCAACAAGCTCACTGCACTCATCTGACGTGTGAGCTCTCTCCTTGCGGCAAACCCTACCACCAATTATGTAAACCGAGTCACCTAAAGACACCATGGCAAAACCCTTCAAGATATGGTTCTCAGTAAGGCCAGGGATCGAGCTAGCATGTGTCCATGTGTTGGTTGATGGGTCGTAGAACTCTATCCAGTTAGAGATGTTCAAGTTTGGCGCTGGTTCTCTGAAGCAAAATGTGGCACAAACCCTGTAACTGGATAGAGAGTTGTTTGGTGAGGAAGGTGTTGGAGTTGAGGGTCTTGGTGGAGATGGGAGAGAACCCATTAGAGTGGCTTGGGAGAGCTTGGTGGTGGAGGGTGGCTTTGAACTAATTAATTTTGATTTTGTCAAATGGGAAATGTAACATATAAGGAAATGGAAGATATAGAGAGAGAGATAGCGGAGAATACAACAAATGTGTGGTTTGAGGACATCGACTAGAAATAAGGGTTGGTGTGAATTTCTAGGATTTCTTGTGTTGCATGATTGAATAGTTGATAATAATGTTTTTGGCGGGTTATTGTCTCTTGCATTGTCCATTTTGTAAAATAATTAAGATTTCCGGAGGATTCGATGCAAAAATAAGAGAGAATCGAGTTATATAATTAAAGATTAGAGAAGAGTGTGGAATTTGAGTCACTCTTTATCTGATGGTTAGTATGTTTTGATTGAGATCAATTTGACTGATGACAACATTAACAAGGACATTAATTTAGTTTAATCTAATTAACCAATTATTATATTTTTCTTGGTTCACTGGTTGCTTATATCTATATATATATATATATATATGTATATTTGTAAGGTTATAGAAACTCACACCTATGCTGGAAAATTTTGAGGGGAGAGTTGATGGTGAATTGCCGATTGAGTAAAAAAAATTTACCTGGTAAGTTGTGTTTTCTACAATTTCTACTGCTTTAGAGATGCGAAAGTGATTTGAATTTAGATTCCTAACTAACTTGGGGAAGTAGTTTGTGTTGGGCTGAACAAATTTGGATCTCTCATCTATTATATTATATATGTTTAGAATTTGTAATAAACAAGTTATAAGTTAACATTCCATCTAAAACAAATTAAACATAACTAAATTAGAAATATTTAGCTATAAACATGTAATTATTGAATACCTAGGTGCTTTATATACTTGTATTTTCTACTTCGGCCCCCAACTTTACGATTCTAGCTTCACTCTATTTGACAGGGTAAAGGTCTCCCGTAATCTCAACTAAACACATGGCCTGTATTCAATATAAAATAATTCATAAGAAATCAAACTTAGGAAAGGAAAAAAAAACAATAAGCACTGTTTAGACAGGAAGATTGGGAGTTGAGCTAGGCAAACATGCATGAAACAGCACTCTGAAAAAGCACTTAAAAAGGCATCAGTAGGGCAAATCCACATGAGATACTACTATATGATAACATTAGAATCTGAAATCTAACACCCTTTCTTTCTCACCAAGCCAACACAGAATCGTCTCTTGGATATGGGTTTGCTTATCAAGAAATTAATGTCCCAATTTTATATGTAAAAAAGTGCATAACACTATACTTGTTTGTGCTCCTGGGATCTCATATCTTTATATCTGCTTTTTATCATGCAGATTTTTCAGACAGCAGAAAGCAATTTTAACATATGGGGAAACCAACAGCAACCAAGGCATGTGACAACTAGGAATCAAACCATGCTGAGGGTGCAATTTGGTCAAAGGGAATTGGATACTGCCCGCTACAGTAGTAACATGTGCTTCCAGCTGATGGGTTGGCTGAGACCATGGTCAGATTGAAAAAAATATATAATGTCGTCTTCTCCAAATTCTTTAGTTGAGGTGCGGATGTTGATGATGATGGTGTTTAGGCTTCGATGATAGCATAACCCTAAATCCGAAACCCTAAATTCTAAACAAGTCACTTATCATTACGATATTATTAAATGCTTCAACTTTTCAAATGTAGTGGAGGACAAAAGATAGAAGGCTAGAATTGCTGAGCAAAGCTGTAAGAGGAGCGCATGATGAAGCACCATCAAGAAATTCAGAAAGCAAAATCACATGAGAAACAGGTACATAGTGCAGCATTATTGGAGAAAGATGATAACATTTTTTGGGCTGACAGGTTGAATGTGTGTAAATGTGCGCTCTGAAATGGATATAATTCGGGGGTGGCTGGCACATTGTTTTCAACCCCATATTCCTAAGCCTAAGTTGCAAGAAGATGCAACCTTTGATCAAGACAAAATCTCCATTGTCTTGAGGTCCACCATGTACTTAACCCTAGCTAGGAGAAGCCTAGAACCATTGAGCCAAAGCATCAAAAGGGGACCCCACTTGAAGAAAAAGCCATATGGCAAAACCAAAACCGAAATATTGGAATCATCCAAAACTAGAAAACCCAAATCCAAAAGAGAGAGCTACATAAGCAGCAGCGCAGAGAGGTGCCATAGGTTGCTCTGTTGGGTAGAATGACAGGTCATCTGAAATGGGACCTAGTTGGAGATGGTGCAGCAGCACAGGCGCACAGAATGGGCAAAGGGCCACGAGCAAATGTGAAGAGAGAGACAAGAGGGAATTTAATGAGCATATGCAAAAGCAAAATGGCTTTGAAGATGAAGACAAAAAAGAAAGAGAAGAAAAGAACCTCTCGCATTGCCTTCTATTGGAGACAAACCAGTTTTTGAGGGAAAAAGAAAACTCCGATTTGACTGATCAATGTAGAGATTCATTGCCCATTTTTTTCTTTCGTTTTGGATTCATGTGTAGACCCTGGGTCCTTTGCACATGATGAAACTGAGCTTTCTTTGTGACGCACATATCCAACAATTTTACACTGGTTTAAACTTGAATAATATGTGTTATTTTTCACTAATGATATTATTAAGCAGTCACTTAAAAAGAAACCACATGGGTAATTACCATGAAATCAAATTCTCTGTGCAGTGAGTGGATATGTGTGGCTTAAAAGTGATTTGGTCGAATAAGCAAGATAAGAATTTTAAACCCTTTGTTATCCGAAGAATTTGAACGAGTTCTTAGAGATATTGTGACCCTAGAAAAAAGAAGGGGATTTTCTACCACTAAACAAATAAAAAGCAGAGTGCAGTTTTCAATCCAAAAACAGAGTGCAGTCTTCAATCCAAAAACAGAGGCAGTTTTCAATTAAAAAAAAACAGAGTGCAGTTTACAGTGAGGTTTTAGGTGTCCACTAATTGCCAGACAGTAGAGGATTTAAGGTCCTAAGATTTTTTATGGCTTCAAAATGGGTAAAAGTAAAGGCCGAGGAAATACCCTTGAAATAATGAGTCGTTATGCTCCAACCACATTCTGATAGTGATACGACCTTAGGCTCACTGCCCACTGTCCCTGCTCTCTCTCTCTCTCTCTCTCTCTGACTCTCTCTAGATGGTGGAATTTTAGCATCTCAATGTGATTTCAAGAAAAAAGTATATCAGTGTAGACTACGGCAGAAGCTGCGCAGCTACTTTGAGAGACCAGAAAGATTGCGTTTTGCATCTGCATTCCCTTCACCATCACCCTTTCTCGAAAAGGTTGTTTCTCCTTCTTTTTATGTCTTCGCATTTCAACCTTCTGCTGCACCATAACAGATTTTCTTTTCTCAAGTCTTGTATTTTCAGCTTCTCTCTTCTCAGTCAGTGAAGGAGCTAGCTATTAACTCTCCTTTCTCTCTCTGCCTAAGTAACAAACCCAGAGCAAGAGACATTGCAGCCCACCTCTCAACTTATTTAAAACAGCGAAGAAAACAGGGGAAGAGCCAATTGGGTTTTTGGTGCAGGAGACTCAGTGAGCAGCAGTGTAAGCGAGCCACTTATGAATATGGGTTTGGTAGGAAGCTTGGTTTGGGTGAATGCATACAGTAGGAGGCAGTGTAGGAGCCTGTTCTGGAGAATGAGAGCGGCATTGAAGAAGGCACTCAAGAACTCTGGCAAGCAGCAGTTGAGGTTCCAGTATGATCCTTCCAGCTATGCTCTGAATTTTGATGATGGCTCTTGGAAATCAGCCCAGGAAGCAAATGCTTTGAAATTGAAACATGCAACAAAACCTCAGCTCCATTCGGATTTAGATGTCAAAAATACTGCTTGGGTTTATGTTCTTTGGGTGGTTTCGGAGTGACGTTTGCAAGGGGAAAGAGGGGAGCAGAATGTTTTTTACTTTTTCTCTGTGTTTGTGTGGTGTCCAAAAAATTCAGCAGCTACAGTGCCATGCTTGTGAAGAGTGTGGTCATTGTCTAAAAAATGAATGGTTATAATTACAAGTGTAGCTTATGATTTTCTTATTTCATTTCTCATGTTAACAACTTCGTTGTTTGGCTAAATTGTCTAACATTTATTTTCTAGAGTGCTCAAGGAAATTACATGATCATGATGTTCTTATGTTCAGTGAGATTGCATGCAATCCATTAGAAGGTAAGGGAACGTAAGCTGCGATGAGCGCATGTACATTCCAGCTTCTCGAAATTTTGACTAGACCACAGCAATTTTTCTTTTAATTTTTATTATTTGAGGTAAGACCACAGCAATAAATTATTGTAGCTCACTACCTGTTTTGCCGCACCTAAGACAGCCAACAAGATTTACTCCACAATCTCAAGAAATAGACGTAAAGAGATGTTATAGACAATCATTTGTACAAATGTTGAGAATGCCACAGAAACGTAAATGATAATAAAATTAACAAAGATTGCAATGAAACAACATCCAAAGGAGGAATGTAGATACAGCCATTTCGCGATAAATGTACATGTACATACATCATTTGTCATTCCATGAAAGCCTAAACGAAACCTAAATCCTCCACACAAGGAGGGTAGGACGGACATCCTCTAAACAGTAGGGTCTTCTAGCATGGCAGTGGAAAGATCATTTATCCGAGGATAAGCAGCTTTTTCATCAAGCTGGTTCTGGGCCCATATCAGCATCTTCAACAAGCTTGGTAGCTTCGGGTCTGTGGTAGGACAACAGGACATACAAAAATTGTTAACCTATTTGGAGATTTGTATTGGATAAGAAGTTAAAAATTGTTTCTTCGGAGATCTATCTCCTAATCAATATTTGCTCTAAAAAATACTCATGAACGATTTGGCATTTTACCCTAGAATATCCCTTCAAATAGTATTAAATTGATGAACAATCTTGTTGGATTTTTAAAGCGAATTTTCCAAATGATTTTGTTACTGGGAAATAGTGTAGTTTTCCAATCAAGTAAAGACCATGATCAATGTACTCAGCAATGAAAAATATTGTGCTGATACAACTATAACTCGACCATACTTCTTCTTGTGGGGTTTACAGTTTACCAACTAAACCTTTTTACTCCAAGAAAATTGGGGTCGACAACCAAAAATAATATGGGAGTTTCACTAAAACACCCAAAATGGGGGCTGAAATTATAAAAAAACTCAACACCCAAAACACTTTATAAACACACCCAAAACTCATCATTACACACATTCAAAACTCATTTATAAACACACCCAAAAAATATACAATTGTTGATTTTGGGTGTGTTTCTATGTTTAAATAGTGCTTGGGTTTTTTTATAAATACATGTCTAGGATTGGGTTTATTTATAAATTTGTAAAATAATATTAACCAAACTAACAGTATAAATGCTTTTGAAGATAAATAATGAACATAATCCAGTTATGTTCTATCATAACTGGGAACACAAACAAAGGTAGATACAGAATAAATCAAACTTTAGCAAACATACTAACCTTTTTCATGACTCTGGCTGGTAAGGATGGCCGCATTCACCTCACTTGCTGTCTTTAGGCGTTGTGATATGTCCAGAAGCTCTCCAACAGGACAATTGGACACATCTTCAAAGGCTAGCAGTGCAACAGTCCTCTCCAACTCTTCTAAAAAGCTTTGCTGCATATAATGGTATTAATAAGTAATCATAACTCTAACTTTCTAAGGATAAGATATGTGATGATACAAAATTTAACACGGGAATATGGTCAAATGAAGCATTCAATAAATCAGTAACTATCTTCCACCTTGGTAACATTTACAACAGTTCAACTTCAGCCAATGAGCGAATAAACAACAAAGTCAATGCAATTCAGTTGGATGGAGTTGGGGGAAGCCAAAAGTTAAGTCATAAAATTATATTCATCATAGTCAATCGAAGCAAAGTTACAATGGGCTGAATCTTACATTTTCTTCTCCCCTTGGTGCTAGCTCTTCCTGAGCAAACTCAAGGGCTTCTTCTACTTTTCCATTCCGAATTAGTTCTATCAACCGTTGCTGTTGAAGATGGAAAAATAATTGGGGATTTGTATCCAAAATCTGCAAACAGAGTTATCACAGATCTTTAAATATTTTAGATAACAGGCTGCTCACTGGCAAGCAAAAATCTCTAAAGGAATAGACTCAAATAAAAATTATAAAAAGGAAACGAAGCTACTTGAATGTCAATCTAAAAGAAAAAGGAAACCCTCCTCATGGATGGATAAGGCAAGAAAATAAAAAAGCATTGAAAGGAAAGGAAACCCTCCTCATGGATGGATGTCAAACTACACTACCTGCATATTTACATAAAGAGAAAAAAAACAGGTGGCAGAAAACCATCCATTTAAGCGTATGTTTATATTCTTTGTGTCCAAGTTCTTTTTTCTACAAGTGTAGTAGTCCTAACCATGATGGCAGACTGACCACAATGAAAGTGAGTCGCATTATTTCTAGTTTACTCATATGCTACTCTTCGGGTTTAAAAAGTCATTACTAACTGATCGAGGCTCTAGGTGGGAGGTAAAACTAACAAATTTGGCCAAGAAATCCCATGATTTTGACAGGGAGTAGCAATACCACTCTGATTTTTTTTTTCCTACAAAGGTTTGAGAGCCTCAATAATTCTTCTACTCCCAAGTTACTTCCAGAGGAAAAGTCGGGACTTTCAAATCCCAGTGAATGTTTTTCTTTTCCAGAAAAATGACAGGATATTTTAATAAGCTGAAGGACATGATTCTCTTAACAGATAAATCAAGCAACATCATGCATTTAATAGCTACTTCCCTAATACATACAAAAAAAAAAAAAAAAAAAAAAAAAAAAAAAAAAAAAAAAAAAAAGACAGGAACAACAACAACATACCCTGCTCGACAAACTCATCCTGGTTAGAGGTTGATTAACGCACTACTTACAATCACCACATAATGAATCTCATGATTATCATCAAATAAGTGACTATTTGACATATGAACCAACCTCAATTATAAAAGAGCTTCATATGAGGCTGACAAACTTCATATCAAGTTTGGCACAAATATGATTATTCAAATTGCAGTGCCACAATTAATATGACATGGCATATTTTCAGAGAAGAGGAATGATATAAGATTTTATCAAAGGAAAAAAAAGAGCAATAATTTTTTCATCAATAGTATAAAACTACGGACTTTATGAAGATAACCAAAAGTTTTAAAAAATGGCATCCTACCTCAGGGTTTAAGTCATTCACTTTCTCAATTGCATCCTCTACATTACCACACTGTACTGCCTTCTTGACAGCCATACGGTCGGTGATTGTTGCAAGATCAATATCTGCTATCTAACCATAAGGAGAAACACAACATATAATACAAAATGAAGCACACCACCAAGACATCGACAATAAGAACATTCCATAAGTTATATTTAAAAAAAAGGATACGTTCGGTTCCAGATTCCTTTCGGAATTTCTCAGCAGCATCAACATAACCCTCAGTGACAAGAAAGTTCATCACCAATTTATTCATGTCTTCTTTCTTAATTTTTACATCCTTGAGCTTCTTCTCCCACTCTTCCCTTGTTATGACTTTCTTCGACGCAGCCTATGGCACAACACAGAAATATTAGACAAATTTGCATTGTCACAAAACATACCCTCTTCAACTACAGTTTCTTTTTCTTTCTCCTATTGAAATTGAAATCTGCTCCACTCTACCATGCCAATGGGGATAGTTATTGACCTAATAACTAAATATTCAACCTCAAATCAATGTAGTGAACCCGTTCTAAAAACTCATAATTGAGCAGTCAAAACCACGAAATTATAATCTAGATGTCAATTTACCATTGCTTCGATCTCTGCAAGTTGATGAACCACAATCCAGAACAGTGACATCAGTGCACCGCCTTGAATCCCATCATTCAACTCCCACAACTATAAATCCTTCAAATCGCCCTGTAAATTTTACACACCGATTCAAATTGCAACAAGAGACACTATACTGACCAAACATCTGGGAATCATAAACTGGAAACCCTAGTTCTGCATAAATGCGATAGAACTGTAAATATAACTGTAGCTGAGTGATAATTTTCCCGATAAAACTTTTTCCAAGACAAGTGTTTGCCAAGAAAATACTGAAGTAAAAGGTACCTTGAAGAGTGCTGGGTTTGCGATGATTGCGTCTATATATATACTGCTTCGTATTCGTCTGTGCGTGTGAGTGAGTGATTGGGATCCCGGCGATCCCTTTCTTCTCGCTGCTCAGAACCTCTGGGTTTGGTGGTTTGTGTTTTCGGGTTACCCTTAATTTGGGTCCTGACCTTAAACGGGTCGGATCCCGGTTTGTTTTATTTGGTTTCTCAATGGTTTGACGTGTCACGCGATTATGCGCTCAAGCTTGCGTTCGAATTGGGCTCGCAGAACCGTTGGGCTTTGACCCGAGCGTAGTTCGAGCTTTGATTTTGAGTTCAAGCTTGATATGCAGACCGGCCCATGATTAAACCTTTATTAAAGCATTTTATTCGAGAACAAAGAGACGGACACACTATGTAACTTTTATTAAAGCAAACGAATGACATATATACTAAAGGGGTAAGCAAGTATTTTCTTCCAATCTAACATTTTTGTCCCCATTACTGTGTGAGATTCTTAATTTCCGTACATCATATACAATTTTTCTAAAATAAAAACTAAAAAAGTTATCCTTAATTTCATAGTCGTACTTTTTTATTTAAAAGATAGAGTCGTACATTTCAAAATGAAGAAGCCGCACAAGGTCTTTTTTAAATATATTAGTTGATAACTTGAGATCGCCATCATCCTTTTTCACCGACTCAATCTTTTACATGTTTGTTGAATTACCTTTTTCTTTTTTTAATGAACCTTTTATTGACTTACTTAACTTATTGGCAATCACGGGTCCAAGGGAGGCCTTGAATAAAAAATTATTAAAAATCCCAAAAGTAGAAGAAAACAGGTACTATAGTGGCGCGAAATGGACAGAGTTTAGGTATACCCGGTACTTTCATATTAAAAAATTTGACACGCAATTGCGTTGGCCGGTTGCCAATATCAGAGGCGCGAATTACGCCACTGCCCTTCTTGTCTTTGTTATCAAGTTGTAACTTTCGCAGCCAGTTGAGACGCTTTTCCATTCAGTAGCATGGAATTTCACACCGACATTAACATTGTGTTTGTGTACAATTTACAGAGAAGTTTCCATGCAAACCTCAAACAACATTTTTTTTATTTTTATTACTGTCTACTTAATAACATTTTGGATGGACGTATTCGAAATGTATTGGACTCAAATGTACTATACTTCAAATACATTTAATCTAATATGGTTATTATTTTTGACGTAAATTTAGCCCTGTAGTCAAATTCAAATCATTTCTTTCAAATTCCTCCATTAAAGGGAATCTTTAGTTTCGTAATTAAGAATTTAGATTGTGTTATTGTGATTATATTCATAATTATGTAGTTCGATAATTTATTAAATTATTTTATAATATATTGAGAAAAATATAATAAAAATTTAAAATGTAGATAGTTTCCTCTATGGGATTGGGATTGATGAGAAAAAATAGGGCTTCTCATTCCATTTTCATAATTAAATAATAACATTTGCAATATTTGCTATTTTTGAAAACTTAGGTGTCCTAAAAATAAAAATAAAAAAATAAAAAACTTAGGTGATATACGCATGAGCATGACAATCCGCAAGCGTGAGTGGTTGCGTGGCAGTCGAATCTAAGGCCATGGTCCGCAATAATGAAATCAAATCTCCAAACCCAATTCGGAATTCCTAGTCCGAGTAGGAAAACGAAAGCAAAAACCCCCAAAACCACCAACCAGAAAATTAGAACGAGTCCTTAACCTACGCACCCCCCAAAAACCCATACCCAATGTAAACCTGCGCCACCGCATTCTTCACGATCCGCGGCTTTGAGGACGACAAAAGAGAAAAAAAAATAAAAGAAGACGAAAAAGTTATAAAAGAAAAGTCGCATCGCGAGAACTTTCTCAGAAGCCTTCACATTGATAACGATCCAAAGCCCCCTCCTTCTCTCTCTCCGCGCTCAAGTTCCTTAGAATTTCTTGGTCGTTTCGCTGAGAATGCGATTGCAATTGCCCGGATCCAAGCTTTTGTTTCTAAATTCGGAGCATAATCGGACTGAGTCTACTTAGGGTTTTCAAAGAGGTTCAAGACTCGAGAAGCTAGGATTAGGGTGTCAGTATGTTGCAGGCGGAGGACAGCTCGAATTGGAATCAGTTACCGGCCGCCTATGGGGTTCGCCGGCGTGGATCTCGACGATGAGGGTATGTCGATGGATGTAGACACGCTCTTAGGCCTTATCGCTGAAGAATCCCCGGTAATTTCCGCACTCCTGTCTTGGAAAAGGGTTTAACTTCTTTGCAATTTTTGGGATACTTCGTTGCACAGTGGGCGGTGCAAATCTCGTGTGCTTTTTGGAGTTCTTGTGCAACCTTAAGTTTGAGCTTGGAAACACTTAAATGCAATTCTAGTGGAAGCACTTAATTTCAGCTGGTTATTCGTGAAAAATCATGGCGGTGTTGATAAGAATGATCAATTTTTTGTCTCTTTAATTACTAGCAGAAGGGGTAGTATGGTATAGTAACTGGAAGCACCAAAGGGGTTTATGAGTATATTGGCATGTCAAATGTTGTAGAAAAATTTCCACATGCCTTTCTTGTTTTTGTTTATTGCTACATCTGGCTGAAACTTACAGACGTCTTCCTTTTTCATTGCTATGTTTTGTTCTATTAAAATTATTGCCTCCCTAGCCTTATGGTTAGCACTTTCTTTTTTCTTTTAAAGCTGACATTTGGAGTACCAACTGCAGAGTCGTCCACAGAATTATTCCTTGGAAAATCAATTGCAAGCTGAAGCAGTTTCCGATGCTCAGCTCCAAAGTGGTAAATCATTTTGTGCTGACTTTTTAGTTTTTTTAATGTATCTTTGTTTCTGCCATCTATGAAATGCTTTTCTAGGCGTTCTTTTGTAGTAGGATGTTGTTGTCTTCTATAAAGTTCTGGTATTCTGGAAGGTATGTTACAAACATCTACATTTGACTACCATTTGATTACTTGTTTAACTGGTGATTTTGTTAGGATTTCAAGCGTTGAAAGAAGAACCACCAATTGAAAATGATTTAATGGGTCCAGGCTCATGGCATACTCCATACAGGTTAGAAGCTTCAGATTCTGGGGCAGGGGGTCCAGATGGCTCTTTTGAATCTGCAGGGAACCGTGCAATGAGTTTTGATTACAAAGAGATGGAACCATCAGCACACACCAGTTCTCCTGGGCATGCCTACTCTACAAGTCTTAAAGACTGGAATTCCTTGTTTCCAGGAAATGAGGCTTGCTTTGCAGAGAGGGTTGCAGTTTCACAGCCCACATGTAGTACGGCATCTAGTTTTGCTGAAGGGCATGCTAACCACATTTTGGACCACGGAGATCCCAATGTCCTGCAGCGGAAAGCTGATGTGGCAGGGAAAGTTGATTCTGAATGTATGTTAATCTTTCATCTGGGTTATAAACTGGACCAAGGAATCACATTTTTGTTATGTTTGAAGGTTTAATATAGATCATTGCATGTGTACTTTGTATTGTTTTTAAAATTTGAGGTGGAAGCACTAATTATGCCTTCTGATGATTGATTGCAGATGCTTCACAATGCCTTGGTATTGAGAACATGGATCTAAGTTACAGAACCTATGGCAATTTGGGGGAGAATACCAGAGAAACCCAAGGACCTTCAGAAAATAATTCCTGCACATCTATGGAAACTACTCTCTGTCAAAATTCTGATGTTTTCAGTGACCATTACCCAGCTTTGTGTGGGATGAGCTTAGATAATACGTTTTTGGCTGATACCTTAATGCATCATAGTCCTACTAGTTATTATTTTCCGAGTAATGAAGAAATGATGGCTAATGTGAAGGATGAATCAGGGGAGTTTCCAACTGATAGTTCATGTTCAAGTAGTAAGATGAATTAAATGGTCAGGAGGGAATAACTGGTAAATCTTCTTTCCAGCCATCAATGATTGATGTTTTAGATGTGGAGTGGAATTTTGGGTATGATAATTGTTTACCAGCAATCAGTGGAAATTCTTCATTCGATGCTGACTCTTTTCCTGCTGACAACAAGTCGTCAATCAAGCCTCTGAGTTCTACTCAGACATATATATCAAGCAAAATGGAACCCATTGGCGTGAAGGATGAAATGATCGATGAGTTAGTTGCACCTAGTAGTGTTATGTGCCATCCATATCGAGCCATGGATGAAGCTGTCAGTAGACAGTCTTCTTTCAGTGCTGATGATCACTTTTTTGACAAACACTCAAAGCTTTCTGGTTTTGGTATATCAACTCAGAATCTTGGTAACCCAGTGGATCATAAAGAAGACATGATTGTTTCATATAAAGGAGCTTGTCATTTTCAAGATATTATGAATGGAAGTTCTACATCCCCCATTGATGGTCCATCCATGAATTCAAATGCCTCGGAACGTTATTTGCCAGTTGCTCAGCCATTCACTTCAAGCAATAATCAGGCTTACGTTAAGGACGAACTTGCAGATTCTAAGAGCATGCATCTTTCGAAAGTCAGCCCCGAATCAATTCATAGTAACTTCTCTGACAAGTCTCCTGCAGAAGATGACTTTGATGTACGTATCATTGAAAATATCAGTCATCCTGCACCCTCAAATCGCTCTCCAGTGGTTATCAATACTAGTTACCATGCGCCCTTGAATCGCTTTCCAGCACTTGGAAATACCCTCGTTAATTCACAACAATTGGCACCTAGTGATCATTACACAGGAGTGGGAGGCATGAGATGCAAGGCAAGAGATGAGCAATTGATTTTGAGAGTAGCATTGCAGGTTAGCTCTTTTAGTTTGGAACTTTATTGCCTCTCAGTGGTTTTTGGAAATATGCTGTCTGCATGAAATACTGTAAAGCTCTTATTAATATTGTTTTTATTATTTCATTATTTTTATACGCTAAACATATTTTTTATGGTATCATATTGGATGCTCTTTCTTGGGCGCATTGTTTATATTTTGTCCTAGTTGAGATTGGGATATATCTGGGATTTATTATTTTCAACTTCTGTGCTGCGTATGTTCAAGATATGTTCATCCATTAGAATTCTACTAGTTACATTTTGGTGCAAGGTTTTTTTTTTTCTTTCTTTTCAAAATGCTATCATGCCACCCAGATTTCTATTGGGTGACATATATTTCTTTGGTGCTTGTTTTAGTAAGAAAATGTAAAAGCGCTTATGGGCATTACTAAAACTTGAGATCTGAAACCTTGGTGGGACAAATTTTGTGATGCACTGCAGGACCTTTCACAGCCGAAGTCGGAAGCTATTCCACCAGATGGACTTTTAGCAGTTCCTCTTTTACGACATCAGGTTTTGAATTGTACCCTCTTTTTAACTTTCATTGTAGATAAATATTGTTTGCAACCCCCAAAAAATGGCAATTGGGTGGATCCACTGGGAATCTAGTGTGATAAGTATCTAGTTTGGTATTGTGATTATCAACTAAAATAAACTCAGATACAAGTACTTTGGAGTGGTTATTTCCTTGTTTCAAGGTTTAGAAAATGGTTTTCCGGTTGTGTTCCAATAGACAGGCAGAAAGCTTATTTATGTATATCGAGTTGTACATGTTTTCTAAAATAATGGCAGGTTATCAAGCGGTTCATGTTGTGGAATCAAAATCTTCTACCTGAAATTAGAAGTTGGGTTTCCTCAGCTTCCACTTGGGTTTTGGCATGTCTGTTTAATGTTCATGATTTTTTAAAAGTCATAACTGGCTGGTTATATGGAACCATGATTATTTTGGAATTTTCTCTTTCAAGGAGTCTACTTCCTTGTGCCTACTATCCCTCTCGTTTAAAATTGGAACCAGTGCCTTTTTGTTTTAGACTACTGCTTTGCATATATTTGTGTATCGGTGAATGCACTAAATGGGGCCCATTTAAGTTTTAACTCATATCCTGGACAGAGAATTGCATTGTCATGGATGGTTCAAAAGGAGACAGCTAGTTTGCAATGTTCGGGAGGAATTCTTGCGGATGATCAGGTCTGTACTATTTAGTTTTTGTTAGCTAACACAACTTCATCTGACAGGACTTGTGCCAAATATTCTCAAGCGTTTATATACTCATCATTTTGCAGGGATTGGGAAAAACAATATCGACAATTGCACTTATACTTAAGGAAAGGCCTCCTTCTTATGGGGCTTGTCAAGATGTTAAAAAGCACGAGCTGGAAACTCTTGATTTGGACAATGATGATGATATGCCTTCTGAGATTGTTGGACGGAAGCAACATGCTGATGCTCATGAGGTTATCCCAAATGGAATTCAAAAGAAGAGCATGAAACCTTTGGTACAGGCAAAGGGAAGGCCAGCGGCTGGAACACTTGTTGTTTGTCCTACAAGTGTCCTCCGCCAGTGGGCTGAGGAGTTGCATAATAAGGTAACTGGAAAAGCTAATATCTCTGTGCTAGTATACCATGGAAGCAACCGAACGAAGGATCCTTGTGAGCTGGCTAAGTTTGATGTTGTCCTCACAACATATTCAATTGTCAGCATGGAGGTCCCAAAGCAGCCTCTTGTTGATGAAGATGATGAGGAGAAAGTGAAGCCAGAAGAGAATGATATTCCACATGTGGGTTTCTCATCCAGTAAGAAAAGGAAATATCCTCAAGGTTCTGCTAATAAATGTTCAAAGGGTAAAAAAGGATTAGAGAGTGCAATGCTTGAGTCTGTTGCTCGCCCTCTTGCTAAGGTTGGATGGTTTAGGGTTGTCCTGGATGAGGCTCAGAGTATTAAGAATCACAGAACTCAAGTGGCTAGGGCCTGTTGGGGTCTGCGTGCAAAACGCAGGTGGTGCTTATCAGGGACTCCTATCCAGAATGCGATTGATGACCTTTATAGCTACTTTAGATTTCTCAAATATGATCCTTATGCTGTATACAAGTCATTTTGCTCTACAATTAAGGTCCCAATTAGTAAGAATCCAGCAAAAGGGTACAGAAAACTACAAGCTGTTTTGAAGACAATTATGTTACGCCGCACAAAAGGTGTGATAAAATATAATATTTCTGCTATTTGAATCTTTTAATGGTGCTTATTTTGATATTCTTAATTTACTAGTTTTGCTGGTGCCTTTGGAAAATTAGTGTTGTATGTGCTCTAGTCATTCTCATTGACTTTAGCCAATGGTGAACTGTCACTTATTATTCATGCTTATTTTCTAGGATGGTTACAATTTAATAAGCTTTAACTTCTGTGATCTGAAGTGAATTGAAGTATAAAAGGCATTTTGTTTTAGAACTTGTTTTTAAATTAAAAACAAATGTTTATCGCTATAATCATTCTATAATATTTGTGAGCTCTCAACTGTAAATTTATTCCCACTGGCATTTTTACTGTCAATATCCAATTAATCTACATTGATTTATCACCATCTGATGGCAATTGTTCGTTGTAGGCACACTTCTTGATGGCGAACCTATTATTACTTTACCACCTAAATTTATAGAATTGAAAAGGGTGGAGTTTTCAATGGAAGAACGAGATTTCTACTCCAGGCTAGAGGCTGATTCACGTGCACAGTTTGAGGTATGTTTTTACTGAGAAAGCCAATTTGGGGTTTGATAGTGGAATTGCTTTATTTTTGTCATTGTGTTCTTTTTCCCCATTTGAAAGGACACTTTTAGCTCCTTTTAGTTTTTTTTAGTTTTTAGTTTTTCAGAGTACGTTTCTTTTAAGTTTGTGATATACATGTTTAGTTGCCTTTGGTCATGTTCTCAAATACATATGCTTGCTATGTCAGGAATACGCAGCTGCTGGAACTGTCAAACAAAATTATGTTAACATTTTGTTAATGCTTTTGCGTCTTCGACAAGCTTGTGATCACCCTCTTCTTGTTAGACGGTATGATTCACATTCTTTATGGAGATCTTCAGTTGAGAATGCCAAAGAAACTTCCCCGTGACAAACAACTTTCGCTTATTTGAAATTGTTTAGAAGCTTCTTTGGCAATATGCGGCCTGCTGCAGTTAAGTAAGACCTGACCTTTTTTTTTTTTTTTTTTTTTTTTTTTTTTTTTTTTTTTTTTTTTTTTAATAATTTTTCATTTTATTGTATTTATAATGATTTTATGTTTACTGAAATGGGTGGATGGCATGTGGCGCAGCATCCATTTTTTCTATCTTCTTCAGAGGTTGTCTTGTTAATATGCATAATTGATATAGCCCTTTATGGATGTAGTTTTTGTGAGAATTGCACACATGACCAACTGTCCAAATTATGGTGCATTTGTATTGCCTTTACCCCTTTGCTTTAAGCGCTTTGGAAGTTGTCTTGTTAAGAAATTTGTCTGGCTTTTCTTTTTTGACGCCTTGATTTATTTTTTTCTCAGGATCCACCTGAAGATGCTGTTGTTTCCGAATGCGGTCATGTCTTCTGTAGCCAATGCATTTCTGAACATCTTACCGGCGATGACAACCAGTGTCCCAACACAAATTGCAAAGTTAGACTAAACGTTTCTTCAGTGTTTTCAAAAGCCACTTTGAACAGTTCTCTATCTGACCAGCCTAATCCAGATAGCATTGGTTCAGAAGTTTTTGATGCTGTAGAGTCTTTCTATGAGGATCACTCATATAATTCTTCAAAAATTAAGGCTGCTCTTGAGGTTCTGTGCGCAATGTGTAAACCGCAGGCTTGTATTTCTGGAAATAGTTGCTTAGATGACCAAGTTGATAGAAATGCTGGCTGTCCTGAAAATTCTTCTGATATTCGTGTGGTTGAACCACTTGAGGATGTTCCTAATAGACAGAACTTGGATGTGGTGACGTGTTCTAAGAATTCAAATAAGGTAGTTAGAGAAAAAGCAATAGTCTTTTCACAGTGGACAAGGATGCTGGACTTGCTTGAAGCATGCCTTAAAACCTCTTCCATTGAGTATAGAAGACTCGATGGAACAATGTCAGTTGTTGCTAGAGATAAAGCTGTCAAGGATTTTAACACCCTTCCGGAGGTTTGTGGAAATGATAGGATATCTTGATATAAGTTTCAAAGAAATTTTTTAGTTTTAGTTTTTTCTTTTTAACTTGATAGTTCTGAAGTTTGACCTGGTTTCTTGTAGGTGTCAGTTATGATTATGTCCTTGAAAGCAGCTAGTCTTGGTCTCAACATGGTTGCAGCTTGTCATGTTCTTCTTTTGGATCTTTGGTGGAATCCTACCACAGAAGATCAAGCAATTGATAGAGCACATCGTATTGGGCAGACTCGTCCTGTTACAGTTTTACGGTTGACTGTGAGAGATACTGTTGAAGATCGTATTTTGGCCCTTCAGGTACTTTCCTTGCGTTCTTTATTTTTCTGTTTTATTTGTAGTTTAGCTTTTCTAACCACTACAGTACAAGCATGGATAAGCTGAAGCGCAAATGTATTAGACCATGACCTTAGGTACTACTAGTACATTTTTCGTATGGAGTCATGGACTGGGGAAGAACTAGGTAGCATTGTTGGTTGTAATGTATCTGAAGCTTCTTTGAGTTGTGCACTGCCATAATGGCATTGGCATTAGAGGAAATAACTTGGGCTAGTAGGGCTTTTCATCTTCATGTGTTTTTTAGTTGGGGAATATGTATTCCTGACAAACTGTAGTTCAGTATGTTTTTCTGAGTATCTATGATGTATACATGGATGCCTGCTGTTTGTTAGTACATCATGGTATAGAAAAATTGGCTCGTCTCAGGAAAGCTGGGTGGACAGAAAAAACTATATTTACTTACTCATTTTGGGTCATAATGTTCTCTAGGGCAGTGTTTACATATTTGTTACTTTCATTGTTGGATGGTATATATTTGCTGATTTCTTTGTTGGATAGTACATATTTCTTTGGCTCATGTTTAGCGAAACCAGACATCGAGAAGGAGATGAATGCATTGCATTATCTTATGGAATATATATTCTATTGTTTGGCTGATAACCTCATTTGTGCATTATCCCTTTGTGCAGCAAAAGAAGAGAGAGATGGTGGCCTCTGCGTTTGGAGAGGATGAAACTGGTGGTCGCCAGACTCGTCTGACAGTAGAGGATCTGAAGTACCTGTTTATGATGTGATTAGAGAGTTTTTATAGGTTGAGCAGATTTTGTTTTGCTAACACAAAAGGTATTGTCAATAGGTTTGTTTTTGGCATTGGCAGCAGCATAATTGATAGTTGAAGAAGATTATCTGACCATAGATCTAAAAGGAGTAGCATGGGGCTCTATCAACAAAAAGATTATGTTCATAGTCTGTATAGAATCACATGATCATTTTTTTTTCCAAAATTTGTTCTCTAGAAATTTCTATTCTTTCCCTGCCCTCGTTTTCTCCATGATATTGTATAGGATGTGGAGTAGGAAGTTTAAAGCAATTAAAGATGTGAAGTTCCAGTGAAGATTCTCGTGTTTTTTTTTAAAATTGTAAATGTGAGGGTATTTCCCTTTGTTCTTTTTATAATATTTTCTTTTTGTTAGTTATGATATACATAATACAAATGTTTGGTTGTGAAAATTTGCTTCTTCTCGTGATCAGTTAGTTCATATCGACGATTAATCCATGGTTTATGTTGAGCAAATTGGTTTCATGGTCACTAATCGCTAATGATGTACGTGCTTGGGTTTGCTGATTTTGGTGGGAGCAATACCTCTCTCTCTCTCTCGCTCTCTCTCTGTCTGACTAAACATAATTAAGCAAACTAGTCAAAACGAGCGAGGGTTTCAAATGCAACTTGCAAGACCATATGGTCAGCCACCTATTTCCATATGGTGGTTGTGCTAGTCGGCAAATAATACAATGCAATGCAAATTCAATGCCTCCATGTTCATCATCAGGACAGGGCAGGACATGCTACAAACACAATTTCATTTCAATCAAACACAATTTCAATAGTGACAATCGAAAATAAAACTCAAAAATAGTTTTGATTTGAATCTCAATGTGATAATTGAAAAATATGATATACCATTTTGAAAAAAAGAAGAAAAAAAAGGTAGTAATTTGATGTCATTCAGCTCCTCCTCCTCTGGCATGGCATCTATGATTCAACCAAGAAAGAATATCAGCACGAACAATATCAACATTTTGATCAGTCTCCCCAAACAGCAAGGAATGCATCATCCCTTCATAAATCTTGATCGTCTTATCCTCACTCTTGGCCTCTTCATACAATGCTCTGCTCACATTCGGATCAGTCACAACATCTGCGCTTCCATGCAACACAATGAACGGAAGACTCACATCGCCCAATCTCTGACTCACGTACTCCGTCACTTTGAGCAACTCCACTACCGTCCCCAATCTCGGCTTTCCTCTGTACCTCATCGGATTCATATTCGCTATGATCTTCTTCTCCTCCACCTTCACAGACTTGTACATGAGGTCCGCGGTGGGCACAATGGCCAAGCTGGGAAAGAATCTGGCCACGAACGTCAGAATTTGAGGAATTGGCCACCTGGGTTTCACCTTATCAGAAATTTTACACATAGGTGCCACCAAAATCGCACCTTGAAAAGCTTCCGGCTCCGCGAAGTGGATCAGAAGGCAAATGGCGCCGCCCATGGACTCGCCGTAGAGAAAACAGGGGACGTTTAGAAATTGGGGTTCTTGCTGCTTGACCAGGGTGAAGAAAGCGAGGCAGTCTTGGACCACGAGATGGACGTCGGGGACGAAGGCCCTGAGGCCGTGGGATTGGCCGTGGCCTTCGAGGTCGAGAGCGAAGCAGGCGAAACCCTGTTGGGCGAGGAAAATTGGGGTGGCTTGGAAGGTCCAGCTGATGTCGTTGCCGTAGCCGTGGACCATGAAGATGAGGCCACGTGGAGGGGAGAGGAGGGGCAGCCATTGCCGGGTGAAGAGCTTGAGGCCCCTGGGCGAGGTGTAGAAGGATTTGGAGGCTTTGATGCCTTGGAGATTGTAGTATTCTTGCTCTGGGGTGTTGCCCCAGTAGTGCATAAGTTGGGTTTGGGTGGACATGAGGCTTTCTTCTTCCTTCATTCTGGGAAGTGGTTGTTTTGTTTGCTGTGCTTCAAGATTTGCGGCTCTCACTTAGAATTGGAAGAAGCTGATGACTCGACCAGATGGATGAAGGATGGCTTTTTTGTTGTCTTGATGTTGATGTATTCGAGGTGTGTTTGACTCGGTTCAGCCAGGTCTGTGACTCACTCAGATGCTCTCTTTTTTTAATCACTATACTATTTTCCTTTTTTCTGTTTTTTTTTTTGGAAGAATCTTTCTTGTAAATAATAAATAATGTTATTTTTATTTGAACTATAATATTTAAAAGAAAATAGAACAAAACAACTTTATTTTTATTTTTATTTGCACTTTAGTCTATAGACACTATGATGATGTCCTTACTCCTTACTAAAAACAAATGTTAGTGGTTGGTTTGGTTAGGATAGGATCACAGGAGCATGTCAATCCTCACTCCCATGAGGATGTTTCTTAATAGGTTGTGGCCTCTGCGCCGCATGGCTAGATAGATAGATAGAGATAGATAGAGCTTTCCTTTCCGTAGCCTAAAATTGTTAGCTAGTGTATTGAATTTGTATACATACATACATTTGGGAAAGTTTATCAACTAGCTTTTATTAGTGTAGTTGGGAAGAGATCCAATCCAACTTGGAAAAAGAAAAAGCACCAAAAAGAAAGGTATTTTTCTATATTCTATCATCCTGTTAGGTTGAAATTCATCATCCATGAATAGAAGAAAGTAGATCAGATCAGAACCTCAGATTGCACTGTGCCAGCTTGTGCAACACTTGCATTGCATGCAGCACCATTAGTTTATTATTATGCTTTTCCTATAACAGGATAGGAGGAGAGGTTTTGCTTTCAGATGAAGATGATGGCCAACTTCTTTGGTTTGTTTCTTCTCTCTGTAGCATCGGAAAACTACTACTTTCTGAACCATTTACACTCAACAGCATTTTGTTGGTCAAATACAGTACTAGTTAGTTCTCTATCATTCTCTCCCTCTCCCCAACACCCACCGAGAGCACAAATTCTTCAACAAATAAGGAAGAGAATTGACCCCAAACGGCTACTTACTGGGATATAATATTCAGCCTCAATTCCGCAAGGATATAACTTGTAAGTATGTGACAACCTCTTACCCATAAAAAGAAAAAAGAAACAAAAGAAAAGAGAAGAAGAACGATAAAGGAAGTTAAAGAAAAAGCACAGTTCAAAGTGATTGGAGCAAGTTAAAGAAAAAGCACACAGTTCAAAGTGATTGGCACTAAGGCAATGATGCTAGTATTGAAAAGAGAAAAGGGAAACGATAAGAATACAAAATAATTACTGCACTATGACCACGAGAACATTCTTAGAATGCTAAAAGGTAAGGCTGAAAATGAATAAATGGAAGTTGTTATGGATAATATGAAGTGGGATAGGTCTCCCATAGATTCTGCATCTTTTAGGTCTTAGAAATAATAATTTTAAAGCATTTTCTCTGCTACATTTGTACCTAACATCTGAGTATTGATGCCAATGTTAGGCAGGCTAATCTGAATTTCGACAATTCTATTTTGCTTTTGAAAGTGGCACCGGGTCTTGCAAAAGAACTTTGAAAGTTCTCCCATTATATCGTCTGGTCTCTGGTCTGGTAAAATTATTAGAAGCTACAATCTAGTAGGCCCCTGATGGCATTTTGATTAAGAAACTAGAAGGGATTCACTAATAGCGGTAGGGCTTACGTATGCAAAAATTTCTTCTTAAGCTACTATGGAAATGGAGTAAAACAACAGTAAGAGCCGGATGAGACAACAGGAAAGTGACATAGCATGCAACTAATCCATTAATGTACATAACATCTGCATATTTTGTTCATCTCATCAACAGTTAATGTTTCAGTAAATTGGATGTCACTTGATTGCATGGCACCAGGTTGATCATGGAGTTTAAAGCAATCTTCTTAAGTAGAACCATCTCTTATCAAATCCCTGTATCATCATGCAGTTGATAACTCTCATACCAACCAACTAGAAAAGGTAATGCTCTTGTTTCTTTAATGTAAATCTTTTTTCATAGGTTCAAGTAGATGTCCTAAAAAAAGAATTTGATGTAAGCAAGAATGACATGCGCTCGAATGGGAGGCCTATCAGAATCCACAATCTGGTCAATGAAGAACTTTATGCAAAGTATACCCCATATGATACTGTGCCCTTTCGTGCTCCATAATACTCAGAAATGAAGTGTAAGCTTTTTGTAGTGTAATGTGCCCTTTCCCCTAAAAAGAAGAGCACCAAAGTCTCCCACACCCCCATTAAGTGTAAGCTTTTTGTAGTGTGAACCGAAACACATGTGGGCAACACTAGTTTAGATGAATAGATTAAACACAGTTTATGTTTAAGATATAGTATACATTATTCATCTAATGATAAATCATATGGGCAAAAGCTAGCTATAATAAATTCTAATGCACCCTTTCCTCCCTTCTAAGATATAGTCAACTCAGCTAGCTTCTGGATGAACAATGGTATAGGTAGTCCTCTGTAGAGACTTTAACTGCCCATGGTGCTCGATGACATAGTTTTTTATGGTTAAGAAAGATTCTAAATATGTTTACATGTAAATCACGTGAGATTGCCTTTTCTCCCTCCAACCAATAAGATTGGATGGTTCCTTCTCTACAAGCAGGTAACACAAGGGCAATTGACAGATTATATTGGTTGCCTTGTTGTAGTAGATGAGTGGCCTAAGCACTTGTTATTTTGTTTATTCTTTTAGAAACATGTAATGTACTTTTTCTAAGTCTTTAGTGTATTTGATCGATCCATCGGGCATTTGTGCTTATAGAAGTCTCATTTAATTATCATGAATTCTTTACCGAAAGAATTTAACATAAGTATATGTAGATAGTCTCCTATACTTTTTATATATTATAGCTTCCAATAAAGGAGTACTGGAATTAAAGTAGTATAGAGGAGAGAGTGAAATTATAAGCAAGAATATAGTCTAGTAGTTGTTTTTTTCTATTAGTTGCAATGCAAACAGGCGTTTACTTATGTTATGAGATTTGTTGAATAGGCTTGCGTTAGTTGTCTGTTAGAGTGTAGATAATTCATTTCTACAGTACTACTACTAGTAGCCTCGACAGGTTTGCATTCTCCTATAGTCATTGGAGGTAGAAAGAAATCCTGTTTGCATTATCAATAATTAGTGCAGAAGATCTAGACAACTTAATAGACTACAAGTAAAATACTGGACACGTTTCTGTAGTGCAGAATATCCTCTATATCACTTTGTGGGTTGTAGTGCGTTAAATTTGACACCAAGTTTTTTAATTTGTAAAGTTAATTTCAAACCTGTAGGTTATTATCCGCAATTAGTGCGCTTTATCTCAACTTTGATCAGGTCGTTGATGTATATCACTTGTTACTTTACCTAACAGAGTCAGAAAGACAGAAAGAAGACACAGCAAGCTGGAGCCTTTATGCATTTGATGACTTGGTGATGATCGTCGGTAAAAAAGAGCTACACGTAAAGTATGAAGGGTTTCTCATTTATGAAAAGCTGGTGCCCCTTCTTTGTGTATATTGCTGGCAAAACTCATGAATTTTAGCACTGAATGCATATACACCGAATGTGCGCCTTAATATGTACATGTTTTGATGCATGCTTTTTTGAGATATTAATTAGTTGGATGCTGATCAGTCTAATCCTCATGAGCATAACATAGATTTGCACTTCTCTTTATCTGTATTGACTGAACTCCTGCTTTGTGGCAATGAGACACACAAAAAGGGAGATGAGGAAAATAGTTTCCGAAAGAAGTAGGTGGACATCTATTGCCCAATACAGATTAAGTTGGAGGTAGAGAGCCTAGAGGGATGTGGCAAATCCTTTGCCATGGATATATTTTCTGGTGCCAAAAAAGATGACGCCCATGTGGGACTGGGAATAATATGCTTTTAGATAGAATAGAATTGTGTTTACAGTACTAATCTTCTGTCATATTAGCTAGATTTGTAGTAAAGATAAAACTGCCTGAAGCATCTCGAATCGTACTGAGTGAACCCTGCAAATTTGCAGTTGAGGCAACAACATATCTCAGAAGCAGATGGTGAAGAATTTCAAAAAGAGTTGGTTAAGAGTATGTCTTACAAATTAAAATTTGAATTAGATTGCTAATTGAATAATTAAGAGATGATTTCCATCTCATTTTTCAAATAACAAAGTTGGAATCCAAGTCATTGTTCAACCCCACTAACTTAATTGGTTGTTTCTTTCATTCCTTTCACCACTTTGGCTTCATCAGATTCAAGAGTCATTACGCACAAGGTTCGCCACAAAACTCCATCTGTCTCCTTTGTGATGATGAGATTCTGAAGAGCAGTAGTTGCCTTTTCCTATTTTATTTTGGAGAACACCACTAAGTTGGAATATATACCACAATGCCTTTTCCACTTTGTGATATAATCATTGACTAGCAAGAACATGATCTATCTGATATGTATTATGCACCAAGAGATTGCCACGAGCTCTGTCTTGGTTTATCCCTTTTCAATCATGAACATGAACATGTACCCTTTTTTAGTTGCTATTAGACTCTGTAACAGTAGCTTCGACATCAAAACATTGTACCTTAGTTAAGGATAATGATTCCCCAGGTTTAGTTATTAATTACTTTGGTTTTCCACATGTCTGCTAATTAAGCGTAGCTAATACTAATACTACTGGTTTTTTTTTCTTTGTAGATTATTACTGCAGAAACTTTGACGATATTAATCAGTTCCTTCTATTTATGCTCTAATTCTATATATTAGATGATCTTTTATGAATATGGTATTTTATCCAATCCAACTGCAGTCGCTAATTTGGTTCTTAGCAAATTAAAAAAAAATTTAAGTATGTATATATTGACCTTTTACTGGGTCGTTTGTTTTCCCTTTTGTGCTCTTGGATGTATTATATATGCTAGTTGCTGTGGAAGAGCTGACTACTAGTCTACTTCCACAATGTAAAGTTATTAGCACACCTCTTTTGAATAATTAAATGATAAATACAAATCCAAGAGGAATAGTCAAATTTACTTGATCAACATCATAAGACATTGATGGAATACCAATAGAGTTAATGTTATTGTTGATAATATAATATCCTATCATGCATTATAAGGTATACAATTTGGCTCTCTTTAGTAATTCGTTGTCAATTAGTTTTGCGTTGGACCGTTCAATTTGCGCATTGTACGTTCCACACGTAACCAAAACAAATATTACCATTCAGAGACTCCTTTAAGATCTTCCCATACTGGCTCAGATTTTATGATGTGGGGGATGATACTAGGGGTAGAAATATTACCATCAGAGACTCTTTTAAGATCTTCCCATACTGGCTCAGATTTTATGATGTGGCGGATGATACTAGGAGTAGAAATATTACCATTCAGACTCTTTTATGATCTTCCCATAGTGGCTCAGATGGGGGATGATACTAGGAGTAGAAATATTACCATTCAGAGACTCTTTTATGATCTTCCCATACTGGCTCAGATTTTATGATGTGGGGGATGATATAGATTTTTTGTTTTTTCTGAGTACTCATTCAGTCATCACCAACCCACACTAGACAATGGAGGTACCACTTATCACACTTGCTCATGCATGAAGAGCCTAGAAGCTGAGCTTGCGTAATTAACCCGAGTCAGATGCCAATGCCACATTTGTCAACTTCATAAAGTATTACATTGCCACGTAGGACTCTTCTTCCGTATCTACTTTTTTTTTCTTTCTTTGAATTTCATACATCCTCGTATGGTTTAGTGGATGCTCTAGTATTAGTCCCCAATGAGTATAAATAGACATGCTGGATTTGCTTATGTTTCATCCTTGTTTTGTGGTAGCTGTCTCCAGCTAGCAATATTGTTTGGTGTCTGTTTTTGTACTTCCCATCCAATATGAATTTTGTACCAAAAGTGACAGCTTTCTTCGTCTTGGCCCTTATTGCTCTGCAGTTTGTGGAGCCTGTTTTGGGTTCTAGAAAGAAACGATCTAATAGTGAGAAATTGATCAACTCATTGGGGACTCAGGACCTTGTGACCAACTTGCCTGGCCAGCCTGCTGTAGACTTCAAGCACTATGCTGGCTATGTCACAGTGAACCAAACAAATGGAAGGGCTCTCTTTTACTGGTTTTATGAGGCTGCTACCAACCCAGATGCAAAACCTCTGGTGTTGTGGCTTAATGGAGGTGAGATATATATAAAACTACATATATGGTCATAAATACGTGTAAATGTATGGTTCGTATTTGTCCATAAACATTGCAAGCCAGGACTTCCACCTTCCCTCTGCTAATGCCTCAATCATGGTTGTTTATGAACCTCATTGGGAGGTGATGTTTGGCTGGAACCAATTAATTAATTTGATTACATGTTGTTGGGTTCTAAATCATCTTAGCAGGGAAAACTCTTCATCAGCTACTTGCAATTATCTTTTTAGCCATCAAGATATATTCCATGCTGATATATAGGTATATATATCCATCTTTTGACCAAATCTGCATTTATCTATATACCAAACACATAATCATATATGTGTGGAAGAGGAAGCAAGCACAGGTTCCTTGATATCTTCATGTTTCCTTATCTTTAGACAGTGCGTCACCTAATATTTAAACAGTTTAGTTTCTGTTAATAAACAATTATAAAGCTTTTATTAGAGTACATGGTGGTTAATTATCCTATTGTACTTATTCTAGTGGAAGTCATCTTTTTGTCCTTTCCAACTCATCCAAAGAATTTTCTATGATACTTAATAATCCCCATTTGGCACTTTTGCTTCATGTTATCTGCTGAGGTGACAAGATGCTTTATGTTTCAGGTCCTGGGTGCTCTTCTGTGGGATATGGAGCTACCCAAGAGATTGGTCCATTCATAGTGGACACTGATGGACATGGAATTAGGTTTAATAACTACTCATGGAATAAAGGTATTGGGTACTTGACTATCAAATCAGTTATGCAAACTTTGCTCTGCTTTATGCTTAAACATCTCATTTGCTTCTTTAATTGCTTGCACCTGCTGATATACTATCTGTATGGTGCTCCCTTTATTTTGAATTTATGATATAAAAAATTCACCAATTTGTAGTAATATATTTGGATATCTCTGATGATGCAGAGGCCAACATGTTATTCTTGGAATCTCCGGTTGGGGTTGGCTTCTCATACTCCAATACAACTTCTGATTATGTGAATCTTGGAGATGTCTTTACAGGTCAGTTCCTTAAAAGTTGAGTGCTTTATATTCTCAACAGCCGGTATTACTGCTTTATGTTATTTTCAAACATATGGTCAAGATTTGTTCTTTTTGATCTTGTGGTGAGGCTAATGACTATACGGTTAGAAGATTTTGATCTGGTTTTTCAACTTAATTCAGCGAATGATGCGTATACTTTCCTGCATAAGTGGTTTCTCAAGTTCCCATCATACAGAACAAGGACCTTTTACATTGCTGGGGAGAGCTATGCAGGTACGCCAGCCTCAGTCCCTCACCCTTTTTTATCATGTGCTCTCCAATCGAATTTCTTTTGTATACCCAAAATTCTTCGCTTTCTTGTTAACAGGAAAATATGTTCCGGAGCTAGCCGAGGTCATCTATGACAAGAACAAAGATCCTTCCCTCCATATTGATCTCAAGGGTATCCTGGTATGGTCCTTTGGGAAACAACAAATAGGATCTATCTGATCTGTTTCTGTTCATCATACATATATAGTTTTTTGGTTAAATTATTTTCTTCTATTTGATGTACAGTTGGGTAATCCTGAAACATCTGATGCTGAGGACTGGAGGGGTCTGGTGGATTATGCTTGGAGCCATGCTGTGGTATCAGATGAAACTCACAAAATAATACGCGAAAGCTGTGATTTCGACAGAAATGATACTTGGAGTAACAAAGATTGTACTCTAGCTGTGGATGAAGTGTTAAAACAGTATAAGGAGATAGATATCTATAGCCTCTACACCTCAGTCTGCATTGGTGATACAGCAAGCTCAGATGATGGTTCAATGCAAGTCATGATGAAGCGCACATCTACCATGGTGAGTGAGAGAAGATTTAAAATTAATGTTATGAACCCTTGGTATATAATTTAAGTTTAATTAACGTGCAAGTTCATGGCTTATGCTTATCAGATGCCAAGGATTATGGGTGGCTATGACCCATGTCTCGACGAATATACGAAAACATTTTATAACAGACCAGAAGTGCAAAAGGCCCTCCATGTTAGTGATGGTGTCCGGCTCAAGAACTGGAGCATCTGCAGGTAATTACTGCTGTGTCCTTGGCTTATTTTGGACATATATAGGAGTTATATGTCATTTACGTTTGCCAAGATTATTTATTCATTTTAAGACTGTACTCAAGAAAATTTTCAAACTTGCTAATTAACAACATTTTGTTCAACTAATTTGGTTTTGCAGTAACAAAATATTTGAAGATTGGGCATATTCAAAACCATCTGTTCTTCCTATATACAAGAAACTCATTGCAGCAGGACTTAGAATATGGGTGTACAGGTAGATGTTCCCTGCCTTAACATCAATATCAAGTGATGATATTATTATAATGGAAATGAAATTTAAATTAAAACCCACCTTTATGGTTTTCTTTTATGGATGGCTCAGTGGAGACACAGATGGAAGAGTTCCTGTGCTTTCCACCAGATACAGCTTAAGTGCTCTGGGACTGCCTATTAATAAGGCATGGAGTCCCTGGTACCACCAGAAGCAGGTAATTAGTTACTACCACCAACCAAGCCTTCAAAATTGAAGTTTAAGTTAACAATTAAAACTACTATAATGATAGCTTAAATTTCCATTTTCTATTAATTTTGAGAATTATGATATGTATATGGCAGGTCAGTGGTTGGTTTCAAGAATATGAAGGTCTTACATTTGCCACATTTAGAGGAGCTGGGCATGCAGTTCCCTGCTTCAAACCAAGCAACTCACTGGCTTTATTCACGTCTTTTCTTCTTGGGGAATCTCTGCCTTCGGCTCGATCGAACATGATTAATTAAGTCAGTTCTGCTGATAATCAAGGAGATCCTATATATATTAGATGTAGGGCTCAAAAAGATTTACCAATTTGCTAGGCTATACATGTAGCAGAAGACTCTATATGTAGCCTAACTATATATAGAGAATAAAACATGTTAGTTTACGGATGAAGAGAGTAAAACCCTTTAATTTTCTGTGTAAAATAAGGCCCTTGTTCGTTGCCAAGAAAAAGAGCATTGAATGGCCACCGTTCTCTTGTACTGTTGTTGTTGGTAATCTTGAAAGAACTGATCTTGTAATTGCTAATTGTGTTTGATTGGCGCTCAATGGCATCATGGCATGGTGCCTTTTCAAGGAATGTAGCTCATGGATTTCATCCTCTTAAGGCAATCATTTTTGTCGGTGCACAAAGCTTGCGTTGCCAATGCCATACAGGATACAAGCACATGTTTTAGATGTTTAATAAATTTATTAATTGTGTTGTATTTAGACACATTTTGTGACTAACAATACTTTTATCCCTAATCAAACCCTTTATTAAATAGAAAGTTACTTGGTATATTTAAATATATATTTACTTTCAAAGGAAAGTTTATTAAGGAGAAAAACGAGCCTTTGTTGTTAAATCTCAAAGAGGAAAGCATACGTTCTTCTATCAAATGGAAAGTTCAATCCACAAACCACGGGGCCTTAGAATTATGGTTCTCACACGACCTCAACATCATATGTATATGTGCATAGGTAGCTACGTATGCCAGTTTCAATAAGCTAGCTTGTATCTATAAGATCAATTGTTATTGATGGAAATGAAAATGAAAATCCCCGAAAAGAAATGCTTATTCAAAATATGACTTTCATGTTTCGGTATGTATTCCAAAATCACACACTAATTATGTGGAGTTTCTGAAATATATTTGATTCTATTTCTCAATTAATTAAGTAAAGTGATTACTCACCGAGCTTGATTAATTAGGTAGTAACCGATGTATGATGCCCCGCTTATAACAAAAGTTATTCTACACATTATGCCACGATTCATTACTTGGACACGATACAAATATCTCATTTTACTGTGTTGAAACTTACACAATATAATGTGAAACTTGATACTTTTGTAGAATGATGAACTTGACTTCCATGTACTAGAGCTTTTGAGGGCGGAGATAATGGAAGAAACAAAACCCCGTTACCGTTAGACCTTAGATTAGATTTAAATCTGCTGAATAATTAAGATTTAGGATAAATAAATAGGCAAAGGACAGGCTTCCATTCCAGCTAATCAAGCGAACGCGACAATTAGGTGAGTGCTTTTGTGACTAGCCAATGGGAGGGCGATACATATGTGCATTAGAATTTTGGAACAAACAAGAAAGAAACATTCCATGCCAATATGTTTGCCATGTTGACATTTGAAACCTAAAATCTCATCTTGTAATCAACAGCTGATGGTGACATGGAATAATGTACACGTCATTTGGTGGAAAATATTGCCCTCACTGATTCTCTCCCTCATTTCATATCTTCATATGATCAATTATTTTTTGTTTTGCTTCCCAAACTTTGTTAGATTTGGACCACTTGGCTGTCAATGATCTTTACCAGTATTTTATTTTTTATAAATATCATTTCATAGTTTCTGTCGATTTATAATTAATCTCAAATTTATAACAGTGTTAAAAAAAATATAAAATCATATCTCTGTTTCTTGTTGAAGATATAAAATGATATATTTAGTTAGTGATTGATTATAAACAAATGAAAGAAGCCCATGTATTGTAGCCCTAGCTAGTCAAAAGAAAATATATTAAGAGAGAGAGAGAGAGAGAGAGAAGAAACTGAAAGAAGCTTCGTGCAAGCTTGATGATATGCATGCATAGGATTAGCTAACGTCATTAGTCTACAGTCGGATTAAGTTATTTCAAAAGTATCCTAAAACAAACTTGAAATTTTTGGGTTTATAAACGTAAACAATACATCTCATCTGACGGGTTTATATCATAATTGAGATGACGGATAATGGGCAGAAGGTGATTATGATTAAGATACACTAAATGACAAACGGAGAAGCCATCACCATACATAATTTTCTTAATCACAATAAAATAATTTCAGAGATGTAGAAATATTCACAGTTGCTTGCAAATGTCTTTTGGGTAAAAAAATAATAATAACATCAACATAAATATATATTTTTGAATAATCTACATAAACCATGCATGCTATTGTTATGACTATAATCACAAGTAAAAAATTAAAATAGAAATGTATCAAAAAGATAAAATAAAAATATATGAACCTTACCCGTATATATATATGCTCATGCTATGGTTACAGTCCAAAGTGATTACAGCTAGCTACAGATGATTCTGAATCAGACCCATCCATCATCCAAAACCAAGCTATGAATTCCAATTCATACTTGGGTGTTGAAATTGTTGGCGCAAAACCCCATCTCCGAGGGACCCAAGAAGTGCATTAGGGTGAAACGGCGCCGTACCCTGTGGGAGCTGGTTTAGCATAGAAACAAAGGAGGAGTTGCTTTCATCAACCCCACCTGCAGCAGTGGCGCTAATACCACTGTTGAGATCAGCATGAAACCTTTTGCTCGATGAACTTGTAGTAGCAGCAGGAGCAGCAGTCCCCATCGATCCCGCATCGTTCCAAAACGACGATGGAAGTGGTCGTTTCACGGGCAGGTTGCTTTTTGAGCTTGAAGTAGATATACCACCAAACTGATGATGATGATGATGATGAGAGTGAGAGCCTTGTTGATCACTTGACGATAATATACCCTCGAAAAAACCCTCGTGATCATCGTTTTCGAGCAACGCCGTGTAGTTTGTAGTGTGCCTTGGCTGCGGCGGCGGCGGAGCTGGCAATATTGATGATGGGTGGACAAACATACCGTCCATTGAATTGTTGGAAGAATCCTCGTCCATCATAGGCCTCTGTGCATTGTTTTTCTTATAAATCCGACACAAAACCCAATCATCAAGCTACAAGAAGAAAAACAGTAGATCAAAACCCACAAGTTAACACATGAATTATTGTTTGACAAACCAAATACTATTAAATGTACCCTCAAAGAGGCTTTTTTGTTGGATGCATCAGGAGGCTTAGAAAAGTTGTTGTTGTTGTTGTTGTTGTTGACTAGGCGATACTCGTGCATGATCCAATTGGTCTTGATCCCTTTTGGGGGCTTGCCACCATAGAAAACCAGAGCTTTTTTAACGCCAACCTTTTGGTTTCCAATGGATGTTAGAATAGGCTTATCGGTGCCCGTGGCCTTCCAATACCCTGACGTTGCCGCTCTGTTAGGCCTTGCCCCATTCGGGTACTTCCGGTCTCTTGGACTGAAAAAATACCACTCTTGCTCCCCAAACGTCGCCTTGCCTATACAAAATCAAATTTAATTGAACAACTTCATAATTAATGAAATCTATTTAATTGATTGATTAAAGATGACGTACGTACTTGGTAGCTCCCATGGATCAAACTTGTACAAGTCCACCTCGGCGATGATGGTGACCGGTAGAGGAGCGGAGGCGGCCTTTTTCTTGAGATAATGGACCACCAGCTCTTCATCGGTCGGGTGGAACCGGAACCCGGGTGGCAGCTGCGGGTGTACTTGTGAACCCGATGATGAATCTGTGCTCTCCATCTGTTCCTCTTAATTACTTGTTTAAAGTTGGTGTTCGTATCGCCAAAAAGAAAAAAAGAAAGGAAAAAAGAATATTGGTTGATGAAGAAGAATTAGAGCTAAAGCTGCAAGTGTTTGAGCAATGGTAGCTGCGAAAGAGTAGAGACAGGGGAGGGGAAATGGTGGTGAGGTAAGGTTGATGAGGCAGAGTGGCGGTTAGGTACTAATAAAAGACCCCAAGCGGCACCGGTGATCGGGCGACACGTGGATGCATGACGCAATGGTTTGGCGACACGTGGGGGGTTGGGACCATTAATATGGAAGGGGAGGGGTGATGGATGATAAGGAAGGGCAGAAATGGGGGGAGGTTTTGTGGGTCGGATCGGAGGTTTGGAACTGCCTGTACGCCTTTCATGTCATGCTTTTCTTATTGATCAGCCAAACACGCCCAACTCGCTCCCTCTACATAACAGATTTTGTGAGTACTCAGACAAGAGAGAAAGAGAGACTCCGCACGTGTGTTAATGTGCGTGCTAGACATCATTTTCTTTTATTTTTTCAGATTTTTAAATGTAATGGTCTTTGAACTTGTACTCGGATCATTTGTCTCATGTGCGGTGCAACTATTTGATTCTTTCGTCAATATGAACTTCAATTAGAGGAGTAGAACCATTCATTCATAAAACAATTTATTCATTTTGACAGTCATATTGACCGAATGACTAAATTGTCACGCGTGATACACAGGAAGTATGGGATAAATTAAAAATTGAGTTATATAGTTATCATGTACTTTTCCATATTCCAAATGCAATACCTTTGTCTTATGATCTTGGTGTCAAAGACAGAAAATCTTTATGAGATCTTGAATGAGTCCATGCCCTATTGCGAGGTTAATCTCCACTTGCCTTTTTGACAATTGGTGTGTTCTCATTGCATATGTATAATGTATGCATATTTTAGAGCTCAAAGTAAGCTAGTGGTCAAATTCATTTAACCATATGAAACAACATTCTAAGAAATTTGGGGTTTAACACATGAGGCGGCCTAGGTTAGCTTAGCTAGCAATTTCAGTTGAATGTTGTTTTCGAATGTCTACATATTAGCACATGGGGGACGTGTACTCCATGCGTCAAAATGCCTGTATGTCATGCTTGGACTTTGACTATATTACATGAACGGTCCTTGTTACTTTTTCCTCTCAATTTGCTTTTAGTAGCCATCTATGCATCATGATATATCCATCACTATCCACAAAATCAGAGGAAGAGGTCATTAGCTTTGATTCTCTAGCTTGCTTTATGTCCCTTTTGCTTCTCCACATCACATTTTGTGACTTGGGATGCCTCATTCTTATGCACATCATCACAACATCTGAAATCAATAATTGATTGAAAGTATGTAAAATTTAAGCAAAATTAGTCATTTAGATAATATCCAAAATCAATATCGAAGTCTCGGTGTCAGTCACCTTAAATCATTTTATAAATAAAGGATTTGCGACTCAAATAGTCAAAGAGTATTTACCTCATAGGCCTAAGTTCGATTCCCCCTCCTCCATTATCCTTTGTATAAAAATAAAAACATTTGATAGATTCAGACCGTATTTTTAAGTTGAGGCCCAACCTTCTTACTTGCCGGATTGTCTGCTTCTGATGGGCCCATCCATTTGTCCACAGTCCACACGACATGCTGCAAAAGTGGCTTTCACGACCAGAATCATATGCTGCTTTCAAACATAATTTTTGTTTAGTTTAAATATTTATCCTATCAGAACTTTATATATAATAATAAAAACCAATCAAGATTGTACACGTGGAAATCCTGGATAATTTAGACGTGTCCAGGCTGTGGCATACGTAGGTAATATCCTATAATATAATTTGTAGGTATATTTGTAGGGCTACATGACCAACATAAATAAATAAATGAAAGAAGAAGAAGAACCTGAATTTGCCTAATAGCTTGTCGATTAGGAAACAAAAAGTTGGGTTGGGGGTTGCCCGTGATTCGTGAACACCACAATTTTTATTTCCTTGAAAAATCATGGCCATATGACAGCTGCTGCTGCCACTTGAATTTTTATTTGTGGCTTACAGTGTGCGATCCATGAATCACAGTTCATTCATGTGATGCAACATTGTGTATTGTGTAAACATGCGCATGCCACATATTCAGTTTTCAGATAATATCTCAAATTAACATGGTATGGACCAAAATTTTGATGATTTGTCTCTTATTACATTTATGTCCACTTTTGCCTTGACCCTTTTGTCGACGCTCAAGATTGATTGATTGATTTATTTATTTTAAATTAACGGGAAAGGGAATTTGAACTTGAAACCTCTTTCAATTGGAAAGAAAAAAGTGTTAGGTGGAGTTCTTTTTTTTATGTCATATTCCATGTTTGACGACCAATGAGTCTTGAAATGGAGAATATTCTTGATTATATCAAAATGCTTTCACATTGCAAATGAATAGTATGTGTCTATGCGATGTGTGCAAAAGCCACCCTAAGAGCAGTTCCACCGAGGCCCCCTTGCCTCAGGCTGGGGGAGTTTTTTTGCAAAAATTGGTTTCCAGTGGTGAGCCCAAGCACTGGCTGGAGTGGGTCCCATGCAACTCGGGCTGGCCCGAAGGCTAGTTCAGCCTGAGGTCCAAAACGCAGGCTTGGCGTTTTTTTTTTTTTTTTTTTTTTTTTTTTTCTATGTGGCGTCGTCTGGGCTCTCCGATCTGATTTTTTCTTCTAATCCAACGACATCCAATTTTTTTGCAATAAAATACTATAAATTTTTTAAAAAATACCCAAAAATTAATGAATTTTTTTCTATAAATACCAGCCAATTTTTTTTAATTTATATGAAATTTGAATTGAAAGTTTTATCCGATTATGAGATATGAATAGTATTGACACGTAGAAACCTGAAAATCTTATCCGAAAATATTATCCAAATTAATTATTGAGGTAAAAAAAGTTGTGAAAAAAATAAAAAAATGAATAGTAATTGCCCTTTGCCATGGCAACGGGTGGAAACGGAAAATACCATTTGCAAGGGCAACTACTATTCACGTAAATAGTGACTGCCCTAGCTCCCCCTTTGCCATGGCTAAGGGCAAATGGGTGGAGTTGCTCTAATAGGAGAGGTCATAAGTTACAACCTTCTTTTACGCTACCATCCACAAATAATATGGTAATAAGTTGTAACAATGGAAGCAAGCAAGTCTTTTTAAGTACCAGAAGATAAAAGATATTAAATTTTCCACATTAGTCGGGAAGGTCTAGCCCGGCAAAGATTTGTCCCGAAAGAAAAACTTTGCCGCGAATGATCTATCCCAGTGAAACTTTTTCGGCATAGAACAATATTCGTACAAGCAATCCCTTGAACTTCTCATTCAATGTGACAAAATAAAATATCTTCTTAAGTATGCAAGTATTTTGCAAAATAAATATGGTGGCCTCAAGTCCAAAGATGGATATAAGAGAGAGCCATCTTTATCTTCTAGTAGGGACTTAGGACATACATCTTACAACCATGAGGGGCAACATTTGCAGTCAACCGAAAACGCTTGTTCCTTGAAACAAATGAGTGCTGCAATCAAATGACATTATGGCATGAGGCACCAAGGGAACACACAAAACAGATATATCAAACATGAGCAGTGCTAGGGTAAGTTGCGCGCATGGGCTGACGACCAGATGCGTGTGAGGCTCACAATGCATCAGCCCATGCGCGCAAGCATCCTTCTATAAATGCATACATACCGCCCACAGATCTCTGACAACAACTGGCTTATACGGAGAGAGTCCAATGTCCCTCCATGTCACAGATATAGGAGCAACTGAACTGCCTCTGTTCCACAACACTACCGCCACTCTTTTCCTTGATAATGGTCCTGCCCACACCTGCATATCAAATTGACAGCTTATCATATGACTATAATTTGAAAAGCTGTGACAGGTTATAGAATTTGAACAAACACGGTTAATCAATAGTCTATAAACTAATTGCAGAAATGAAGGAAAAGGGCAAGCATCTGAAACTGCAACATACTTCTAGGCCATCTTTTGAACGCAATTTCCTTGCTTGAACTCCCATTGGATCCTGATTAACATTAATGACCTCCTTGTTTCCAAGGATCTGAAGAGTCTCTTTGCTTGCAGATCGGACGTCACATCCAATAAGTAAAGGAGCCTGTGACAATAATATTTCTGGTATTATCAGTGTATGCAAGTCAAAGAGGTGATTGAAAGAAAGCAATTAGAAAGTTTGGAGATGATCACATACTTTCATAACTGCCCAAATGCTAAAATGAGATCTATACTCCTCTAGACTCATCCCTCCATTGCCCACTTCCAACATATCAGGATCTATTACAATCAAATTACATTTCAAATAAATAAGTATACAGGCATTTAAACAAAGATAAGAAACAAGATGGCTCTGGAAATTCTTAAGTTCAATATGGTTTGTAATTGTAACATAAGTTACACAACTACATGGTTTCACTCAAATAACAGAAAATAGACAGTCAATAACATTTAAAAAAAATTACCATTCCACTTGCCAGGCCCTGCATATCTCCCCCAAATGTTGTTTTGATCTGCAATCGACGTGATACTGAAATTGTAATGTACACAGATTAATAAAAGCAAATGATTCAATGTTTCGAGGTTAGAATTCTCTGTCAAATCAGGATTCAGGTTGAGATCTTGAAAGAATTAGAAAAATGAGGAACTGAGAGTGCACCTTGCCCAGGTATCGTTAATGTCTCCTGTAGTTCTCCAAGCATTGCCATACAAACCAGCCCATTTGGCAGGATTCTCTTGTCCCCTTTAAGAACACATTTTTGTGTTAAGGCTTGTTTGATAATACCAAACAGTTTCTAGTGATGCAAACACACAGACCTTGTAAACAAATTTAAGACAGGATGATGATGTTATCAAGTACAAGTGACTTGCCATTCGCATAAGGAGTATAGAATCGGCCTTCCAACCTTTTGCAGTGCATAACTCATTCTAGCATATCTTTTTTGAGGCTTAGAACCATCATTGTAACAGTTATCATACTTCAAATAATCGACCCCCTACAGCCAAATGCCCCTATCAGCTGAAGTTCATTCCTTTAACCAAAAAAATTAATTACTCATCCTCATGTTGTATAAAAATATCAGATACAAACCCACTCGGCGAAGGTTCTTGCATCTTGCTCTTCATGCCCAAGTGAGCCCGGCATTGTGTTGCTGCAGGTCATATAGCTAATATACAAAATAATGAAATTAAAATTATATGAACAACAGATAGTCTTCATTTTATATAAACACAGATTTCAGAGATATATTTACCCAGCATCAGAGTATATGCCAAGTTTTAAGCCTCTTGCATGAACATAATCTGCAAGGGTCTTGATTCCAGAAGGAAAAGTAGATGATTTTGCTCTGAGATTACCCCTACTGTCTCTGTTTCTTTCAGCCCAACAATCATCTGCATTTTAGATCACAGCAAGAGTGAGAGTGAGGACCTTGTTATAGGTGGCTAGGAAAGGCAGGATATTCAGAACCAAATAATTGAGTGAAAGTCTGTAAGGATGCCGACCTAAATTCACATATGTGTATCCAACTGCTGCCAATCCAGTTGAAACAAGAGCATCCACTGTTCTCAAAATTCGAAAAAATCAACACAAAACGTTACATGATCATTCTTACAAATGAATGGTATACAAATTCAACTGCACAAATTGTGAGAAATCTTTGAAGCCAATTCAATGGAGGCCATTCTTATAATTAATCTTACTGGTAGAAACCTATTATAAAGCAAGTGCACCTATACTGTTGGCTTCAAAGTCAATATCTTTAATTTCAATTAACAAGCTTTTTAATGAAATTGTGCATGTAACATTGTTGTGATATTGAAGACATTTTTTCATGGGAAAACTTTACCAATAGTCTTCACAGTGCTTTCATTTATATTGCATTGGAAGTGATTCCAACTGTTCCAACTGCATTCAAAACCAGTTAGCCAAATTGAAAAAAGCCAATTGCTTTCAAATAAAACTTGGAAACCAGGTAATCCGATGAAAGCAATTCCAAATAGTACTTAATTGATCTCCCTTACCCCATTGGAGGTGTTCGAGCAACCCCATTGGCAAGAAGGAACTGATTGTATTCTGCTTGATGGGTATTGTTCCTGAAATTCATAGCATCTATCACATGGACAAAAAATAAAACAAGAACAAAGAGAAGAAAACTTCTGTTTCTCCAACCCATTTTGGGAAAAGAGTGTAAAAGGGTGTGTATCTGAAGAATATTCTTATGAGATCTGAGACAGAGCTTAAAGATTGAGGAGGGGCTCCGTTTCTGTGAGTGTGATTTTACTGTAAAATGAAAATGGAATAATGCAAACAGATAAGACTCTTCTGGCTTCATGTACAGTACAATACAACTGCATATGATATGCGGGTGGGTGGGAGACAGAGACAACTTCTCGGATATATATATGACTTTCCTTTAAATGCTTCATTGATATTGAACATGACAAATTAATGGTTCATTTTAAATTCTCAACCTTTGTACAGAAAACCAAGTATTGCACAAAATGCTATACATACATTAGCCTGACATGAATGAGAAAACCATTATACAACTCATCACAAAGATCCTCACTCATCAATACATAGTACGTACAAAGTAACTAAGACATAGAGTCTCGGCAAGTAAGGGAATTAAATATTTTAATTTTTAATTCAAAATAAGTTGCTTGGGTTGGTTGTGCGACTTTGTAGTCTTATCCCTAGAATGAGAGTAGTTTACTGCTCTTTGTTGATGGTGATGCTCGACATATGCTTTGTATTGACCCTTTGTACTTTATTAACGATATTAATGTATTCCTCCTTAATTTTGTATTCACTCTTTGTGGAGAGATTAAAAATAAAAAATTTAAGGCAAATGATCTATTAGTGTAATGGTTGGAGCAAATATTCCCCCATAAAATATTAAGGATTCGAGTCCTAGTATTCGTATTGTGTGTGTGAGCAAACTTATAATTCAAAAATGTCTAGGACTAATTTTCAGGCCAGTTTTTCCAATAGAAAAATTTAATTTAAAATTTTAACAATTTTAATGATAATTATCAAATTGTATATAATATATTAAAAACTTGTATAATTTACTTCTACATTTCAATTATATTCCGAAGAATAGCATACTTCCCCACTTACACATAAAACAATCCTAGAAATAAATTACAAGAAAAAAATAAAGAGTACAAGAAGGAGGTTGTGAATAGAAAAGAAAAAGAAAAAAGAGAGTCACGGGATGACAGAAGGGAACCCCAAAAATTACTCCACGGGATGACAGAAGGGAGAAGAGAATCTTCAGTTTTTTTTTCCTTACTTTCTTTTTTGTCTTGGGGTGATAAGGCTGTAATGGCTAATAAATGGGCTAGGTATTTTTTTTGCCAGAATGGCTGGGCTACCTAGCCATCGATAAATCTTCTAAAATTTGGGTTGGGCTTCGGCCTTGTCTAGATGGGACTAGTCCGTGCATGTATGTAAATTTAGTATGTTATCATCCGTCTCAATGTGAAATATACTTATAATAGAGCTTAAATTAAAAAAAAAGAGTAAGGGTCCAAAAACATTCATACGAGGAAAGCGGATGTGTAAAGTGAAAACTGAATCACGAAATGAACTCTTTGAATTCTTGCAATCACTCTTTTTCTTCATCTCAATTTCTAACCACAAATAAACCCTAATTTAATGGCTTCAACAAGTGAAAGAGTTACCAAAAAAAAAGCCGTCAAGTAAAAGAGGAAATAAAATAAATGTGAAAAGCAAAAGTCCAATATACTATTGAGTACTCTTACTTTAATAACAAAAGCAATTCCCACAGAAATAAAATAATACATGACATGTGCTGCTTGCTAGATATGTACATATCCATTTGAAAAATCATAAATTGGTCGGGCAAAGTGAACTGCTGAGAAGTTTCTTTCGGTTAACGCTGAAGAGGATGAATATCTCAGTAGGGGTCAATTCAAGGTCAATTTCTGAATTCCCACACAGAGATGAGGCATGGATCTTGCTTTCTCTGAATCCATATATATTACTACTACTACTGGTGGGCGGTGCTGCGGTTTCTGTTGCTTCCTGGTTTAGTAAAAGTATAGTGATGATGGATGGGCGGCCATTCCTCTGCTCTGCTAATACCTTCTTCTTGGTAATCACAATATAAATTCTGTAAATTTTCTTCCGTATCTCAGTTTAGATTGCATTTCCCCAACTTTTCTCTTTGATTAAAAAATAATAATATTTAGCTGTGGTGATGATTAAAAGCAAGCCGTATTTGCTTTCATGCCGTTTTTTCTTGCCTCTTACGAAGGATTTTCACACCAATATTGCATTCATTGATAGCACATGATGTAGCTCTCTCCAATATTGTAAAAAAAAAAGAGGACAAATTATGCATCTGCATGGAAAAAGAGTGTATGCCGTAGATAAACGAATGTTTAAAGCAAGCAACCCTCTTACGTGTAAAACAAGAGAAGTTAAAATAATATGATCAAGCATTTTAGCATGAATGACGGTCTTAACTTGCTGGGATTGGGAACACCAGTGGCACTAATAAAATAATTATATGAAACAACGGCACTCACAAGATCAGTCTCCCACGAGAGAGATGAAAAGATGGGAGACGAAAAGATAAAAGAATCAACTACTTCACATTATTTTGAAGGAAGCATGAATTTGTTACAAGTACAATATTACATCTTTGGTTACACAGTTTATTCACTCCTAATCAAACGAAATACAAAAATCAACAAAACGTGTTAGAAACTTTGAAGATATTCTTTGTCTCCTATACAACAAAAAAAATCAATGAATTTGTAAGACAAACCAAGTAATTAAGAACAAATGTGAGTTTTTGAAGTAATTACTTTTTCTCTTTAGTGAGATTGTCAAGTAATTGATTGTTTTGTGTGTGTATTAACATTGATCCTGAAAATCGTATTTATGGTCAATCTTGTATGCTCCTTCTCCTTCTACCTCCAGCAAGTTCTGCAACACCGCATCAGAAGCGTCTCTCAGGAACTCCGACCAATCCCTAAAGAAAACCCAAACAAATAAACAACCAATATTAGTGATCGATCCAATAACAAAGATATAAAATCATGTTATTCAAAAATGGCAGTCTAATTACCCTTTGGAGGAGTCGAAAGTAAGTCCAACGGTATACTTGGCTTCTTCAAGCGCCCAACTGAACCTTTGAAGTTCAACTGGAGAGCAAGTTCCATTGTCCCTGACCCTAAGCTGAGACGGCTTTACATTACAGAAAACTGGTATCACCCTCTTCTTGGACTCCATTAACAGAGCCAACTCATGAAGACAAAAGTATGATTCACAATACTGAGGCGAAAACACGGCAAGCCCCACCTTGCATTTTCGAATCGCAGCATCGATTTCATCGAACAGCTTGTCCCCGGGTTTCATGTTCTTGCTGTCCAAAAACGGATGCAGCCTGAGCCGCGAGAAATGGTAAAAGAGCAACCCGGCCACGGTTCTCTTGGTGTCAATCCCACGGTGGTTAATGAACACGTCGCATGGCCTGGAATTAACGGTTTGGATGTGGTTGCTTCCTTGGCGAAGAATTTTGCGAACCAAAGCTGGAGAACGCTGCATGGCTCCTTGGAGAAGCTAACGAATTAGGTACGGTTTTATGTACTTTTCGTTTTGGTTATAAAGAATTTTTCTGTTGTGTGTGTTTTGTATTTTCTGAAGGTTATGTTGTTGTTTGTAGGTGTGAGAGAACTAGAGATATCGCTTATAAAGAGGTCTGAGAAGGATTTGATTTGATTTGATTTTGGGGTCCATATTCAAGGAAGAATTCTAAGCTTGAGATTGGACTTGAGAAAATGCGCGGTACTTATTTAAGCAAGACACAGAAAATAAGAGTGCGCGAACCTTGAAAATTTTGACTATCTAGGCTTTATGGAACAGTATAAACCTTCAAACACGTCATTCCACGTATATATTTTTATATACGTACAAAAACATCATCTGTTTACTTGGTCACTCCACCTTTTGCATGATTTCAAGGGCCAGGAAACTTTTGCCAATTAAAACCAAATGATGGATAGAACTTTTGATTTTGATGAAAAATTAATGCAAGTTTGGAGATAATAAGCTAATCAGAAAACAAATGCAATGCAGAAGTTATATAGGGCCGGGTGTGTTTTTTTTCCTTTCTGTCACAAGGCTTATACTAGGTGGTCTTAGATGTCGTTAAGCTTTAGTACTATTGTCTGTGCGTGCATTGGATTGGAGCTAGTAACATAATTATATCACCATTATAGCCTAGTTAAGAATTAGAGTACTAATCCATTAATTCTTAACTAGACTAATATTAGCATGTATATCCCTTTTTAGCATCATCGTACAAATGCATCGGTTTTTAGCCTTAAAAGGCATCGATTTTTCCCCTATACCTGTTATCACTTTTTGGTAGCATGTAGGAATTTGATCGAGCATCGGTTTGGTGTCTCTGTTGCCGCGTAAGATCATAATGAAGTTAGTTTGATTGTGTCAATGTCTGCGAAAGCGGAGATGTATTAAAATGAACGTGAATTTGGACTAAAAGGACAACGTGCTCTTTGACTTGGTAGCTATGAAGGAGTGGGGACCTCTGTGTCTTGTACTCATTATCGAAAGTGAATGCACAGAAGAAGTCCCTTTGTCTTACATTAGCATGACAATATTTTAGTATTAGTTTCTTTCCTAAACCTTGTCCACATGAACTCAAACTTATAAACCCTAATGTGAATATATCTAAATTGCTACTCCATCTCAACCAAACTTGAGCAGTTGCTGTGCGGTTTAAAGTTTGATGGGTTTCCACTCATATTCTCATATGCAATGACAACCACAAAAACATTGATTGTATATATATATATCTCTAATATGCGTGGTTGCTGTCATTTTGAACATGAATTGAAGCTATGCGGTAATGGGAAGTGGAACAAATTTAAACTACGAGGAAATTCATTTGGGCATGTGTGTTTGGGATCTCAGTGAATCTTTTTGGCAACAAATAGTAGATTGTGAATAATTAATTTGAAGGAATTTCGCATATAATTTCTTGGTAAAATCCTTGTGTGTGCCATAGATGACATGTATGTATACGTATGTAGTGTGTAACAGTCAATTACTCAATGGACTCGAATTGAATTGAATTCATGCAAATACCCCCTCCCTCCTTTTGCATGTGTTATA